TTTCCTGAACAGTTATGTCTTTTCGCTTACTCCCCATCTTCTAAGGAAACAGCTCAATCTTTCTGAATGTGACATTGCCTCCATCAATATGTAACTATAGTGACTATTAATGGTGATGTATATATTATATGCACTGTGTGTGTCTGTGTAAGTATACCACCGAGTGCAACGTGTATGTGTTACATACATTTAGTGTCATTCCATTACATCCCGATGATTTGTTTTATAACTGTTACAGCTAAACCTTGCTATAACATGAAAGGCAGTGTAATATTATACCCGTGCCTTTATCACGAGCTGCACAGTCAGATAGCACTTTTCAGTTTAAGCCTGGTACTGTGCTCACCTATCTTTGCTGCCTTTGGAGAAACCACTTGGGACAGTTGGTTAAAACAAATTGATCTTACAGACTATTCTCCTACTCACTCCATTTATGAACTGTGACTGGGACTGAGTTTATAAATGGTTACAATAGCAATTTTACTCTGCTGTTGTCCCAAGGATCACACTTCATCTTAGTGATCCTTAGGACTCAGCTTAGTGACTTATGTTCATAAGTGGAGAGATTGGTCTCTTTCTGTGATGCATGTCTGAGGATCTTCCAAATGCAGATTTAATAATATTTCAAGTATGCTTGTATCTTATATAGACCATTGTGTGTGCATTGCTCATTGTCAATGAGCATCAATTATTTAAAACTGTATAATGGTTCCTAATTTCTTTTTGTTTTTCAAACTTATGCTTAGGAGTTAGAAGCGATTAAAATCATATTATCCAATCCTAATCCTATAGCCAATCATAATCCCATTATTTAATCATGTATATTTTGGTCAATCATAATCCTGTTGTTTAAAAAAAAGTGTATTTGCAGCTTCCTAGGTTCTAGGGATTTATTATGGTTGTGGCAGCCTCTCACTATAATGTCCCAAGTATTTTTACAGGGATAAAAATAAAGGAGTAATGAAAGTAAGGCTGCAGATGTCTGATGCTATTAAATTAGTCTCTGAATCTCTGTCTGCAAAATGCCCAAGGAGACACATTTTTGAAGGTTTCCCAGGGGCAAGAGGATATTTATTTCTTTAGGGACTCCACCATTGGCACACTTTCCCTCGGTGCCCCAGCTGCTCTTATTAATCCAGTATCTTCTGCAGGCCTGGGGCTTCTACACAGGTTGTTGAAAGAATGGAAGTGTTGCCTCTCTCATTATATGTCATAGTGAGTGGGAATTTGGGGCTTGGAACTCTATATGCAGGAAGTGATAATTTTGCCACTATATAGATTAGCAAAACTGAGGCTGTGCAGTTCATGATTTATTTAAGGCAATGTGCTGTTCAGGAACAGTGTTAGGATGAAACGCCATCATCTCTGAGTTCCCAAATAAAGCATCAGCTCTATGACTCCTCCTGCCACTAACGTGAATAAAACTGCGAGCCAGGAGAAAAGTCTCACCACCAGATACCATACCTTCCAACATCCAGGATCCTCCTTAATCATGACAGCAATTTGTAAATCTTTTTACTCATAAAATGTGCAAAGAAATCATAGGGGTTTTACTAAATACATGTTACAGGTGGTCTCTTGGCAGTGAATCCAGTAGCTTAATACACACAGCTTCCCAATGGAGAACTAGAGATGCATTTTATGACAAATAGAATTCTACAGTCACACTATTTCTATATCATGCCTTTTGTTTTGGTTGAACAATACATTACAGATATCATTCCATGACACTACAAAAAGATTTTCCTTACTTTGTACTGCTTACTTGTATCCCTTTGTATATAGGAGCTATTCTGTATATATATTGGATTTCTTGGCATGTATTTAACTTGGCCCTGCACTTTTTCCCTAAGGCAACTTGTGCTATAGTAGCCATCTTTAACCACACTTTTTTGTGCAGTTGCGAAATTTGTTATGTTAGAAGGTAGGTGTCATTTAATACTTTTCACCAATGTAACTCATTTAGTTTTACTTATTTCCTTTCCTTTCCATTTGTTTCATTCAACTTTCATAATCAGTATAGTTAATCTATTACCTTGACTTTTCTGGAGTTAAAGATAATGATAGTAGCATATGATAAATAATTTTTACATGAAAAAATAATACTTTCCAAAGACAAAATAAATGGATAGCATTTTATTCTTTTCATTTGAGTTGCATGTCCTTAACACATCTCTAGTTTAGGAAAGGTAAGAATTATTCTTCAGTTCTATGTGTGTGTCGGGGGGGTTATATGTGTGAAATGGTGTGTTAGGTTTTCACTTTTTAAAATATTTTATTTTATTATTTATTTATTAGTTTTTATTGTGCTGGGTGGGGGTACATTGTAGCATCTACAAAGGTTCATAAATGTATCAAATATATGAAGGTTTTTACTTTTTTGGCAACACCATTATTATATAGAGTTTAAAAATCAGAATATGAATTTTCCTTCTATAAAAACATCTAAATATAATTCTCTGAGATACTTCCACTGTCCTGTTTTTTTTTTTCTTTCCCTGTTTTTGGTGAAAATTCTGTTAAGATATAATTCTCATACAATACAATCACTCATTCGAAGTGTAAAATTCAATGGCTTTCAGTACATTTGCAAGTTATGGAAATATTACTGCAATCTATTTTTGAACATTTTCATCACCCCCCAAAGAAGCCCCTGTTCTTTAGCTATCATCCCATTCCTGTGATCTAATTTGTGACAGATGTCTTCACTTCCCAAGCATCTGTATCAATCCCTGTATCAATCTATATCAATCCCATTTGTGTCAACAATCCACTGAGTACCAGTCTCCCCATGCCCTTCCTGATCCTTAGACTGTCTCATCTCCTTCACCTGTATTTATAACAAAGTATTCTCAAGTGGTTCAGGAAAAAAGAAGTCTTTTTGAAAATACTAATTTCCTTGTACTATACTTTCAAATGTTTTATGTGTTTGTATCTTTATTTTTATTTACTTATTTCTTTTATTTTTTGTGTGGTGCTGGGGATCAAACCCAGGGCCTTATGATGTCAGGTAAGCACTCTACCACTGAGATACACCCTCAGCTTATGGTTTTTATTTCTGTTAAAAAATTATCTTAGAAAACACAGCCAGGCATAGTGGTACATACCTGCAATCCCAGCACTGGGGAGGCTGAGGCAGGAGGATCTCTAGTCCAAGGCCAGGGAAAGGCTACATAGTGAGACCCTGTATCAAAAAACAAAAACCTCAACAGTAATTGTAATTATCGTTTAGAACAAAAAACCAACAAAAGACTTTTGGAGGGGAGCATTTTTTTGCCATCATTCTTTAGAATTGTTCGCACTAGACTGTAACTAGTCAGTTTGGGTTTTGCTTTCCAGTTCTCTGTACACACTGCACCTCTTCTTGTCTACATGTGGAGTGTGAGCTTCCACACCCAGCCCCCTGTAGACCCCAGGTGCATCGGCAGACCAGAACCTGCATTAAATGATAGGACAGCGGACACTGGGCCATCGGAAGCCCTTGGGCCACTGGGGATAGCATTAGGAGGCTGGATGGCTTCTCATACACCATTCACAAAGGTTTTGCACCTGTACAACACCTAGCCAACCCACTACTTATGTCACCAAAGGGAATTTTTTTTTTAACATCCTTCAGGCACATTAAATTCTGTTAGAAGTGAATGTGACAAAGAAGTCCTCAAATTAACTCCATCTTTAGGGTAGGACTTCTGGCTAGGGGGTTTCAGATGCTTTCTAATGACCTTGGATGTATACTCCAGGTCATAGCCAACCACCCTGAGATGCATGTCACAGTTAACCTGACATACACCTGCTTGCTTTGTTTTAAAGTAAAGGACAGTGTCTACCCAGTTTGTAACCCACGCTCAATCTTTGTGGAATCTAAGTGCTATGTGTGTGTACCTTAGCATCAGTGTGTGTGTGTGTGCGTGTGTGTGTGGTGTGTGCGTGTGGTGTGTGTGTGTGTGGTGTGTGCGTGTGTGTGGTGTGTGTGGTGTGTGGTGTGTGTGTGCGTGTGGTGTGTGTGTGCGTGTGTGTGCGTGTGTGTGTGGTGTGTGTGGTGCGTGTGGTGTGTGTGTGCGTGCGTGTGGTGTGTGTGTGGTGTGTGTGCGTGTGGTGTGTGTGCGTGTGTGTGGTGTGTGCATGTGTGTGTGGTGTGTGTGTGTGCGTGTGTGTGGTATGTGCCTGTGTGTGTGTGGTGTGTGTGTGGTGTGTGCGTGTGTGTGTGCGTGTGTGTGTGTGTTCAACTCTATTTGGCCTACACACAGTCGATCATCCGCGTATGTTTCTTCTCAGAAGCAGGCTTGCAGTGCAGTAGAGACCTTTAGGAGCGTGCTAGCACCTTGCACACGGAGACACCAACACTGCAGCCTGCAGGAGGAGCTGAGCACATGGTTGCTGCTGTCCTGGCCTTGTGCCCCACTGTCTGCTTGCACACTCGATGCAAACCACGACTCTGTGATGGGGGAGGTGCCTTTGCAAAGGGGGAACCAGGAGACTCTTGTGCTTCGTGAATGAACAGATCCCCAGAGAGAATGGTGTTAGTAAGACTTCCCATTTGTCGTTTCAGCCACAAGAGAAAGGTTTGAGGTGTGGGTCACCACCCTGGTCCCCTGACACATGCAGCTCTCAAAGCCTAGTGAACATTGTGGTCACCCATGATCCTTGTTAGAATAGAAATCTAGGTCCTGGGCTCTTGGCCCAGGGACCCTATTTCCCCAGGATGCACCTGGGGGATCACAAGGTTGACACCACCCACAATGTTTGATGCTGTGGTCCATGCACCATCTCAGAAGCTGCTCTAGGGGTAGGTGTGTGGGCTTTGCAGCCAGCAAGCCCAAGGTGGCTTTCCCAGCTCTTCTGCATCCTGGGCATGTCTCAGAAGCTCCTGGGCTCTGCTGTCCTCTCAGCATCCAGGGTCCCTTATCCATTCACTGCCTCACCCTTGGCGGTCTTGCATGGGTTGAGCCCTTGCAGCGCCTCCTTCCCCGTGTGCTAAGGAGCTCTGTGCTCTCTGCCAGCCTTCAACACGGCCAAGTGTGAGAAGCTGCAGAAGGAGAAGGAGGAGCTGGAGCGGCGCTTCGAGGAGGAGCTGAGGAGGCTGGGCTGGCAGCAGCAGGCTGAGCTGCAGGAGCTGCAGGAGCGGCTGCAGCTGCAGTTCGAAGTGGAGACGGCGCGTCTGCAGGAGGAGCATCAAGGCCAGCTGCTGCGCATCAGGTGCCAGCACCAGGAGCAGGTCAGTCCCCAGGGGCTGGGCAACACAGGTGGCAGGGGGCGGGGACAGCACCACGTGTGTGGGAAGGCCTGTTCCATAGGTGAGCTCATGGCCAAGTCTCTGACCCCGTCTCTCCCCTCCTCCCAGCTGTTCTGGCCTCCCTCTTTCTTCCTCCAACTTTTGCACTTGCTGTGCCCTCTACCTGGAATGCTCTCCCTCCAGTCATTTCATGGCTCCCTCTCCCCCTCTCCTTCCAGGCTTTTCTCCAAAGTCATCTTCTCAGAGAGGTCTTTCCTTATCTCAGATCACATATCCTCCATACTCCATGTGCACACTCCCTATCCCCTTCCCTGCTTTAGTGTTTCTTCAACACTAATGACTAACATGTTATAAATTTTACTTTTGTCTCTTATTTGTCATCTGTGTACTCTGAGAGGGCAGAGATGATAACAGGCAAACTCGTATGTAGCCTTAGTTGTACATCAGCACTGCTTTGACCTTTGATGTACACTAATGCATCGATTCCTCACAATCACCCTACTATGTAAGTGCCATTCTTATCCCCATTTTACAGGTGAGAAAGCCAAGTCCCTGGGGTTAAATAAACTGCCAGAATTCACAGAGCCGCTCGTGGAAAATCCAGGGTGAGATTCAGCCTGGCTGCACAGACCATGGTGCCAAGCACTAACTTAGAATTCTGCCAGGTATCCCTCCAGGTCTCCTTACCTGTAAAAAAGTAGGCATAAAACATCTTTGCTAACTGAAATAATGAATGTCTGTACTTGACCTTAGAGCAGCGATCTGACTGGATGGGGAAATTCATCCGCGAATTAGCGAGGGGTGCCAGGGAGATAGGAAGCAGATATGCCCGCCCCATGGCCAGCAGCCGGTGCTATTACTGAGACCAGTGCTGATGAAAGATAGGCGGTGTGTTTCCTCAAAAACTCCATGTTTTCCTCTTCTTTCCAAGTTCCTGAGCTCAGATGCCTTGACAACAGCTTTCTGGTTGGTGTGTTGCTTCATGTGGCCTGTTTATGTCTGCCCAAGGTGAATCAACGCGTGTGAGGCGTGCTCTATGCGCGGATAGTGCTCCACGGCCTAGAAGCTGCCCTCCGAGTGACTTCCAAACAGACATCACAGAGGGCAGAGGTACCTAGCACCTCCCTTCCGCAGAGGCTTGCGACCGGAGGGGAGTGATAGTACCATCACTATGATGAAGAGCCTCCTCTTTCATTGCCCTCTATTCTACACAGCAAGCGTCTTGGGTTAGCCATTCTCCTTCTTTAGAAGCTGTTGCAAAACAGGTGCACCACCCTGCTGGAGGTGGCTTAGACATAGAGTCCAAGATCCAGAAGAGGTCACAGCTAAAGTTACCTGCTGGTGGTAGAGTAGAAAGGAAAGCCCCAGCATCCAGCCTGCTTCTCAGGCTCTGAGTGTGACTCCCAGAAGTAGACATCGTCACCTGTTACCATCTCTAGTCTCACTTGTCACATGTCCCTTTATATAAATACACAGCTCAACCCTGGGGCAAATATCAACTTGTCCTGTGCTTCTGAATCCCTGGACTGTTCATTTCCAGTGTTACACCGAGAATGTGTTTATAGCCATGGTGGCTAAAGACTTTTGGTTGGAAGATCTGGGTGGATTGAGAAGATGCCAAGAGTCCAAGACAAAATCTCACGCAGTAAGGATGCATTGCTGGGGCCTCTGCTGGGCGGCACAAGTCCAGAACCAGAATACCTCACCAAGACCCCCCTGTGAGGGGAAGTGCATTCTCATCTCTTTGGGACATTACAGCCTTTTTAAGATTTGGGAGGAATTGAAAAGAAAGAAGCCCTTGACTTCTGTACTTGAAAATGAGTTACACTTGCTACCTTTGTACACTTAAGCATTCAAGCTGGACATGGTGGTGCAAAACCTGTGATCCCAGCACATGGTAGGCCAAGGCAAGAAGATTGCAAGTTCAAGGCCATCCTGGCTACATAGTGAGACCCTGTCTCAATAAACGAAACCTATAAACAAACAGTACTCAGTCTTGTGAGGGTTCTGTTCTTCTTGATTCTTAATGATAGTTAGAACTATTCATTTATTTATTCATTCCCCTATGCACAGAATATTTATGGAATGCCCACTGTATGCAGGGCACTGTGACAGGTTCCTGAGAGATACCAAGATTTCCAAAATGTGGCCTTGCTTATTTCATAGAGGAGACTCAGGCACAAAGACCTGAGGAGCAATAGTAGGGAGGTAAGAGATACAGATGCTCTGGTAGGAACTGAGAGCTGACCTACAGGTGAGAGGATGAGGGAAGGTGATAGATTGTGGAAACAGCACTGATACTTAATGGTGGACAAATCTCCCTGATAGAAGAGTCAGTTGTTTGGGAGTGGGGGTGGGAGGGGACCTGTGATTCCAATCTTTGGGTGATGAAGTCTCCTGCTGTGGATATTGGACTGTACTTCAGTGCAAGATTCCAATTTCCAGATTGAATAAACGCTCATTAGTTTGGTCAGAGAGGAGACTCAAGTAGACATCTGAAGTGGAGGTCCAGATCGCATGTGGCTTCTGTAATCCAGGCTGCACTCTCCACCCTTAAGTCTTCTTTACCATGGGTGTCACTCTGGGCCATGCCAACCCCATGAGTCACAGTCTCTGTCCTTCCAGAGTCTTAAAAAGTCAGGTGAATCTGGCCTCTCCTCACCACCAGAGGCACCCTAGCCAGCAGTATGGGATTGGCGGGGAGAGGGATTCTTTAGTTGTGATGATTCACTGAGGTCTCAGATGTCACCCTTTACTCAAATTGGGACTCCATCACCCAGGCAGGCTGACCTCTGACTCCACTGCAGGATCTCTAGGACAAGACCAGCTGAGTCTCCTTCTTGCTTAGCTATCCACTACCTCCCTGTCCAGGCTCTCTGGTCTGGGACACATGAGAACCAATTGGGGGTCTGGCAGAACAGAAGGTGCTCACTGATTAGATGGGAATTACAGGGCAGGGCCTGGCACAAGCTGTTTTCAGAAGCTCCACAGATTTCTGCCCATCACCCATGTGTGCCCAGGAGGTACAGAAGGTGGCTCCCCAGGCCAGCTTTCACTAGTGAGGGCCCTGGCCAGCTGGTGAGGAGAGTGACCTTGCATCTTGGCTTTCTTAAGTCAACTTAAAGATATGACAGGACTCTGCTTTTTAAAGTATGATGATATCAAAATCAGCTCTCATTCTGTAGCAACCTACACAATAACAGAAACCACACTGCCACAGAGATTTGCTCTTTCTCAAAGCCCACAAAACAAGTTTTCACCATAAATACATGTCTTTCCCCTTTTGTTCACAGTACAGCTCCTTCCCAGCCCATCCTCCAGCCCTTCTTTCTGGGGCTGCCTTTGGCTATTCCCCCAAAGAAAGGCAGCCCCAGGGCCTGGTATTCAAAGATCAGGCTATGACTTTTACTCACAAAAAGGGTCCTTCCAAGACCCTCTGGCAGCTTGTCTTATCTCATGACTTGACTCCCTCAGTCACTTGCCTTGGGGACCACTTGTTCCTTAGATACATTGTGGAGTCTGCTCCATAAAGTCCAAGCAGATATTCCTTGTGATCCTTTGGAGTTTACATTTTGCCTTGTATTCAGGGCATCCTCCTACCCTTTCTTAAAGAAATCATCCTTTTAGACTATCTGGCAGGAACAGCATCCCCATGGTGAGTCTGACCCTGCAGGGACAACATTGTCCCTGATCTTGCATTTGTGCTCTTAGCCTGCCTACCCAGCTGGCTCCCAGCTGCTATGCAGCAGAAACCACACTCTCTCTAACCAAATAAAACGAGATCCCAGGGGCCTCACTGATCCTGTGCCTGAGCTCCCTGCACAGGGAGAAGGCAGACCAGGGAAGATGGAGCCTCTGTCAACACCCACCCACATGGTGGACTGCAGATGGGTTCAGTGGCACACCCAGAATGGAATGAGTTCAGCTGGGGAACCCTGGCATGACTGGCCACCTGTCCTGGATACTATAGCAGGTAGGAGGTGAGGGAGGCTTTCCTGGTTATCAGGAAAGTGATTAGGAGGGTGCTGACAATAGGAAGCACAACTGCCTCACACAATGTGGACATGTGTCTGGGATAGGGGCAAGCGGAATTTAATCTGCTTTGGGCTTAATGAGAAAAGCTGAGACAATGTACAGCACATGTTTCTTCACTGGGAATTCTCTAGTGAATTGCCAACCCCCAGATCACTGCATCTTGCAAATGGCCAAATGAAGTAACGACCATAGCTCCATTGTTGCTGGTCTGAGAGGGTGGTTTTCCACCTCTTGGCTCAGTTGGATAGCAAGGAGTCTTGGGAATGGAATCATGTCATGGGGAATAGCAGTTCTATTTGATGGGCAAATTGACAGACTGCCACAGCAGAGCCCAGATCTCTGTCTTTTCAGGAAGGCGGAGGGGCTGAACACAGAATTTTAACAGAAAGAGAAGGCTGCTTCAGCCAGCATAAGCTTATCATAGGCTAATAGTGGAAGAGAGCCTTTTGTCTCTAATTTTGTGATCTACAAATCATCTTGTGTTTCTGTGGAGTCAAATTGTCTAACTCTGTGTGAATGCCTTCAGAAGGCATCATGGTCTTTGCAGGCTGGGAATTCTTCCAAGCTCCTTCATGACTGTGGGCCCGTGCTCTAGAAAGGAGCCAGGGGTTAATATTACTAAAAGAGAGGGGATGGCCCATGGGAGACTGCTTCTCTTCTTCATTGAGGGAACATTCTTTACAAACCATCAAGATATATGAAACCTACATTACTGAAGAGCAGGGAATATTGTGTTCAACTTTTGCTCCTGGGCTCCTAACCTTTTGGTTATTTCTCCAATTCCCTATGGACTTTTGGAGTTAGGAGGTCAGTATTTCATTCATAAAAGCACCTCCTAGATCCTGAAATGCTCCTGCCCCTCCATCATCTTTCTTAGGTTGGATGTGGTACTCACCATCACTAAGTCAAAGACCTGCCTTCCAACAAATCAGAAAGGGACATATTTTAGCCATAAATGTAATATGGAATTACTAACTGGGGCATATTCACCTCAAGGGACACATGGGCTCTTCTAGAACTCAGTCTTCTTATGTATCTTTTCGGAAACTTCCCATGGTAATTTGTACAAGAGCCCAATAAATTAGGACCAATAAAGTTCTCATTTTACTGAGCTTTGTAACACACATGTGAGTACTTGTGTCCACAGAATGTGCTATGGGTTTAACTGCAATTTGTAATGGAGCAGAAAGAAAAGATATTTCCTTTTCCTTTTTTAAAAACCAGTGATTTGCTGGGTGCTGGTGGCTCACGCCTGTAATCGTAGCTACTCAGGAGGCAGAGATCAGGAGGATCACAGTTCGAAGCCAGCCTGGGCAAATAGTTCGCAAGACCCTATCTAGAAAAAAACCCTGCACAAAAATAAGGCTGGTAGAGTGGCTCAAGGTGAAAGCCCTGAGTTCAAGCCCCAGAACCACAAAAAAAAAAAAAAAAAAAACCCAGTGATTTATTTTTCCATTAGACTGAAAGGCTTTGGACAAGATTCCATTAAAACCTCATATAAATAGGGACAGGACAGTTAAATACTATTATTATATTCAGCCTTTCTGCTGAGACGGATGCATAGCTCTGAGCCTCTAGTAAAATATAGTTTCATCTAGAAGGTTCAGTACAGAGACGGGCGTCATTGGCCCACCAAGTCCACGTTCACATTGAGCTATAGCTTTCCTAGTATTGTGGTAGACTCCACTGTTGGCTTTATCCAGTGATTTTCCTGATTTACACTATGAAAAATCTCATTTACTTTAAGAGAGAGAAGTCAGGTGTATTTTCCCATGAAATTGGATGATCCAGGATGGGAATCTACCCATTGTCAAATAAAAATGTCCCATGCATCAGTAAGCAGGCATCAATCAGTAAGCAGGGAGAGCCCTGCCTGTTCAATCACAGAAGTTTTGTGAATCATCCTAAGAGATGTGGTACTCTCAGAGATGGCTGAATTTTGCAACATTTTGTTAACTGGCCCACCAGTGAACTTCAGGGCCTGAACACAAGTCTGACACTGTTTTTTAAATGTCAGGTTTTGACACATTTGTAGGTCATGAAATAAATGTAGTGATTCGAAACAAGCATTCTGTAAGACAAAGTAAAACAAAATAAAAATTTCAAAACCAGAATATTACAAGTAATAGGGTAAGTGTGTTTTGTGAAAGTTTGGTTTCAGGTGTGGAGGTGCACATGTGAACATGCATGTGTGCTTGTGTGTGTGTGAGTGTGAGTGTGTGCTCGTGCACACGTTTGCTGAAATGGAATTTTTACAGTGGGTCCCTGACCAAGAGTTTGGATAAACACTGCATCAAGTACTATGTCCCGAGGAGGTTAACTACCATAGGGACAGTTTGTTCTGTGCCGTTATTCTGGTAAGTCATAATCTGAAGTCAAACAAGACAATCACACAAAAACAAAAAGCCAGAAAACATGGTGGGCAGGAGGATGGTTGTGGAGAGGAATCAGAACGTATGAAAATAGGGCTGGGGGTATAGCTCAGTGGGCAAGCGCTTGCCTGGCATGCATAAAAGGCCCTGGGTTTCATCCACAATACCACAAAAATAAATTAAAAATAAAAATCTTGGACTGGCTGCACCCCTTGTGATTAAACTTCTGCAAGTGCACCTTCAGCCAGGGACTTGGCAGCCTTTACAGCAGCAGCTCTGAGTCACCTGTGGGGGACAGAGGCCCAAGTTGTAATCTGGGGCAAGCTCACATTTGTTTAGGACCCTGGCGCCCATGCAAATCTGCTGGCCTTGCCTGGTATTGGTGCGGGGATCCTAAAGTGTCCCTTGCTACTCTTGCTTAGGGATGTTTTAGGAGAGCTTCACCTTTGGGCCCAGACAGACCTGGGTCCAACTGCTAGCTCTGCCATTTATTAGCCCTTGCAGAACATTTTTAAGCTCTCTAAGGTTGGTTTTCTCATTTGTAAAATGGGCATAAACTATCTACTTTGTAGGGTTGCTCTGTAGGTTAAGTGGAGTAGACCATAACAGGTAGCTTAGCAAACATTAATTCCCTCTGTTGATCTGTGTGCCGTGTGCCACCTGACACTAGAAGACAGAAAGAAGAGACCTGGTAGAGAGGACCCTTTTCTTTTCCTTCTCCATCAACATCTCATAGAGTGACTATTGCAAGGGAGGGAAGAGAGTGGAAACGGGATGGCCCAGAAGCCAAGTCAGGGCTCTGTAGAGGTGGCCGGAACAACCATTCCCGAGTGGAGCTGTCTTCCTCAAAGATCCAGGCTACAGCAGTGACTCCCTGGGCAGTCACATTGCCACAAATCCTGCCTCTGCCTTGGCGCCAGGCCAAGGGTGGCTGTCACTCCAGCAGAATGACTTTTCCCTGATCCTCATGCCCTCTGACCTTTTCTTCTCATTGAGTTGCACCTTTGCTCTCCAAGCAGCGAGGATAGCGCTGACAGCCACTCCTGACTCTGGATAACCAGTAATGTGCCTCTCCTGCAGGTGGAAGACATCACCGCCAGCCACGAGGCTGCTCTCCTAGAGATGGAAAATAACCACACGGTTGCCATCGCCATCCTGCAGGATGACCATGACCACAAAGTCCAAGGTAGCGTCCAGCCTTGCGCGCAGTAGACAGGGATGGACTGTGCAAGCTTAACCCTCCTGCTGTAAAAAGAGGAGGCCTCCTTTCCTGCTTTCCTTCCTTTTCTTCTTGGAGCATCCTGTGTCTCCAGTAGGGCTAGGGGTACAGCTCAGTGATATAGTGTTTGCTTCACATGCGTGAGACCCTGGGTTCCATCCCCAGTACCATGTTAAAAAAAAAAAGGATCCAGCTAACTCTTTTTCAACCTTCCTGAATTTTGGAGTCCCTGGAGAGCTATGACAAGAGGCAGATGTGTGGTTCCACACCAGGATTCTGTTATGGCTGGGCTGGGGTGCAAGAGGGGCATTAGGATTTTTAGAGCTCCCTGGGTGATACTAAAGTGGAGCCAAACTCGAGGACTCCTCTTCTGAAGCAGGCTTTGTTGGTATGGCCTCATAAAGCTAAATGGAAACCCAATGTGGATGCACTTTTCCTGTATTTGTGGTGTTATCTGGGCCATGGCAGCATCTGTGGAGATTGCACTTCTTATCCACATTTACCAGGGGCAAAATTTGTGTCTCCAGAGCTCTCCGTCCATATTTTGTAACTGAATAATCTTTGTGGTGTGGTTTGCTCCTCATGGGTCATGTGGTGGAGATTTGGGCCTCAGAGTGGCAATCTGAAAGGTATTGAAACCTTTAAGAGGTAAGGCGTAGTGACGGGTGCTTAGGGCATGGGGGCATGCCCTGAGAAGGGATTGTGGGACCCTAGTCTCTCGGGCTTCCTGTTTGATGATGTGAGCTCTCTTGTGTGTGTTCTGTTAGTCAGCTTTTCATCATTATGATAAAACACCTGAAGTGATCAACTTATAAAGAGACAAGTTTTACTTTGGCTCACAGTTTTGGAGCTTCCAATCCATGATTGGTTGGCCTCTTTGCCTTGAGCCTGTGGTGAGGCCCACAGCATAGTGGGCACATGTGGCAGAGCGAAGCTGCTTACCTCATGTCCAGAAAGAAAAAAAAAGCAGAGAAAGGCCCAGCTTTCCCCAATACCCTTTGAGGGCATGCCTACAATGACCTTAAAGACCTCCCAGTAGACCCACCTCTTAAAGGTTCTACTACCTCCTACTACCCTGGGGATCAAGACTTTATCACATGGGTCTTTGGGGGACATTCAAGATCCAAACTAAAACATGAGGGCTTCACTACAGCCAAGCTGATGCTGGCTTTGAACCTCCAGAACTATGAGCTAAATAAACCTCTTCTCTTTATAAAGTTAGCCTGCCTCAAGTATTTTTTATAGTGACAACAAAACTGACTAATGTGTTTTATTCATCTAACAATGTCACTAAGTCCTACTAAGATTTTTCCTTTGTTAAAAAAGAAGCTTTTTACACTTTTACATGAATTTACATTAATAGACGCAATTTATTTTTTAAGAATCCCCCTCCCTTTACTCTTTGTTCTCAGTCAGATGGTTATTAAAATATATGTTAAAAACAGTAAAACTTAATGCGTTTTTTAAAACTAAAGAATTAACATCAAAGTTTTTTTATTATTATTTTCAAATGTTCTTTGTAAACAACAAAGTTCACTGTGCTATAATCCATGCTTGTGTTATTGCCTCTTTCAAGCTTTAGCCTTCCAGGAACTATTAGAAAGTGAGAAGGTCTAGCAGGAGACAAGAGAGAATAGTATCCTGAGAACAAGTAAAATATACTGCCTATGTCCTTAGATTAGTGTCCCCTAACCTCAGCTGCACGTTGGAGATTCCAATTTAGCAGCCCAGACAGCAGCGTTTTTAAAAACTCGTCAGAATGGATTAAGAAAATGTGGTATCTATACACAATGGAATTCTATGCAGCCATGAAGAAGAACGAAATGTTATCATTCGCTGGTAAATGGATGGACTTGGAGAACATCATTCTGAGTGAGGTTAGCCTGGCCCAAAAGACCAAAAATCGTATGTTCTCCCTCATATGTGGACATTAGATCAAGGGTAAACACAACAATTGGACTATGAGCACATGATAAAAGCGAGAGCACACAAGGGAGGGGTGAGGATAGGTAAGACACCTAAAAAATTAGCTAGCATTTGTTGCCCTCAACGCAGAGAAACTAAAGCAGATACCTTAAAAGCAACTGAGGCCAATAGGAAAAGGGGACCAGGAACTAGAGAAAAGGTTAGATCAAAAAGAATTAACCTAGAAGGTAACACCCACGCACAGGAAATCAATGCGAGTCAATGCCCTGTATAGCTATCCTTATCTCAACCAGCAAAAACCCTTGTTCCTTCCTATTATTGCTTATACTCTCTCTACAACAAAATTAGAAATAAGGGCAAAATAGTTTCTGCTGGGTATTGAGGGGGGGAGCGGGAGGGGGTGGAGTGGGTGATAAGGGAGGGGGTGGGGGCAGGGGGGAGAAATGAACCAAGCCTTGTATGCACATATGAATAATAAAAGAAAAAGGAAAAAAAAAGTTATTCCACAAAAAATAAATAAATAAATAAATAAATACAATAAAAAAATAAAAACTCGTCAGGTAGCCAGGCACTAGTGGCTCACACCTGTCATCCTAGCTACTTGGGAGGCTGAGATTGAAAGGATCACAGTTCCAGGCAAAAGCATTTGCAACATCCCATCTCAACAGGAAAAAAAAAAAAAAAAAAACCTGGGTGGGGTGGTGCCCCTGTCATCCCAGTGATAGTGAGAAGCATAAAATAGGAGGATCACGGTCCAGCCTGGCCTGGGCAAAAAGAAAGACTATCTTCTATCTTAAAAGATAACCATTGCGAAAAGGGTTGGAGGTATGGCCCCAGTGATAGAGCACCTGCCTCGCAAGTGTGAAGCCCTGAGTTCAAACCCCACTACCACCAAAACAAACGAACGGTAACAACAAGACTCTCCCCAGGTGGTTCTAATATGCAGCAAAAGTTGAAAGGCACTGTTTTAGAACGTAGTGACAATGCCCCTCGCTGCCCATGGCAGCCGGGTCTCAGGAAAGGGCTGTGGTGCAGAGGGCACAGTGAGCCACGCTGCTGACTTTCATTTCATGTTTCCATATATGTGGACCTGGAAGATGGTTTCCTGGCAAATGAAGGTTCACTTAGACACCATTTCCAAGGCCTTTGAATCATGTGTAATGTCACTGCAGTGTGGACATGTGTAACAGTAGCTTAAGAATTTATTATTTACAGTCGGGAAAATGTCATTGTTCTGACAGAGGGAGGAGGACCAGCAGGACACTTGGTTTGATGTCATTGAAATCAGCACAAACTTTTTTTTCAAACGTAAATTTGACTAGATTTTTGTTGTTGTTGTTGTTGTTAAGCAATTGTTACCACCAGTTAAAAGGTTTGGGTCGATGAAAACCACAACGTTTTTTCTAACTACCATTCACACTAACCAAGTGACCATTGCCGGTCTACAGTTCGCTCCTGTTCCAAGGGTAGGATCCAGGCTGATTAATGACACCTTCCCGCCTCCGGTTACAATATGAAAACAAATTGCTCGTGTAGCCAGAATGAGAAGGGCTTCACCCAGCTCACCAGACTCTTCCTGTCATTTGCTTAATAACTACTGCTGACACTGCTTCCTGCCTGACTTGCAGATCAGACTGGGATGACGCTGTGCAGGGAACAGAATTATTTCAACCCCTCTGAGAAGAACCAGTTCAATTAGTCCTTCCTTCGGTCTCAGTGTCTTCACTCTGGATCTTTGCTCAAGCAAATCCCTGGAATCTGTGGTTTTCAGATTGAGAACCCAGACAGAGACCACCAAGCTGTCCTTGTAGACATAGCACTGATCCCGTCCAGCAAGCAGGACTGGCAAGGTGGCTGCTGCGGGTCCACTCCCCTTAGACAGACAGCGTCCTCCTCAGGCCCTGATGGCTGCTTCACAGAAGAAACAGAAACTTGACACTAATTACCTGGGGTTTTGACCAGTAGGAAAAGTGGGAGCCTCAGTGGGTACCATGAGCAAAGGCGGTGATTTGGCCAAATAGGTGACAGGGCAGGGACAAAAGTGCATGCTGTTTGCTTCCCTCCCTCTTTTCTTTCTTCTTTCCTCCTCCTCCTCTCCCTTTCCCCTAGTCCCTTCTTTCTTTCTCTGCATCCTAAATCACAGCCTGATTGTCACATTCAATTTTAAACTAGTGGAGGACACTTTTTCGCCTCAAATCTGCTATATCCAGGAGTTATTTTCCTAACATCACTAGTCTTACTGTGCCTAAAGAGTCTTATTCTGTCCTTTCTAAAGAAAGACCAGCTTAACAATTTGAAATCTTTTCTCCAGAACTGATGTCTACCCATGAAGTTGAAAAGAAAGAATTGGAAGAAAATTTTGAAAAACTGCGACTGTCATTACAGGTCAGTATTGTCTTAATTTTCTTAACTGGTGTCAAGGTAACAGCAGTATTTCCACTCACAAGCATATATATAGCACCTACTGTGTACTGGACCCTGAACTAAACACTAGAAGATGGAGGTAAAGAAGCCATAGGAACTAGCTGTCTTCTCAGAGAACTGTGCCACGAATAGTAGCAGAGAGCAACCAGAAGTCACTCCTTGCACCGAATGAGTTAGCAAGCAGTTAGTGAGCACAAAAGAAGCTCAAAGGCATCGCTCAGCACTTGCTGTGGTCAGATATCAAGGAGCAGCTGAGCTGTGCTGGAAGAAAGGGGAGGACGTGGGGAAGAAAACATTCCATGCAAGGCGAATGGCATGAGGACAGTTATGACAGTCAGAATGAATAGCCACACTCAGAATTTGAAAAGGGACATCAGTGACCTGAAATTTCATGAGATGAAACATACCTTTCTACCTTTCCCCGTTGGTCTCAGATGCCAGAGAAGCCGCCTGGCTTCCTCGTGGTCTCTAGGATGAGAGTACAGGGACCCTGAGTCACATGTCTCTCTCCTGCCTTCCAGAGACCCAGCCAGCTGCTTCTGTGAAAGGCCAGTGACAGCTTCCAACCCTAGTGAGGAGCTGCCTGCGAAACAAGGGGTCATGGATGGCCCAGTTGCATTTCCAAGTGTAGAAATTCTGGTCATAGCAAGATTGTTGTGGTGGTGGGGTTTTGTTGTTTATTTTGTTTGTTTTTTGGTGGTACTGGGGTTTGAACTCATGACCTCATGCTTGCTAGGCAGGTGCTCTACCACTGGAACCATGCTCCCAGCTCTTTTTTGCTTTAGTTATTTTTCAGGTAGGGTCTCCCACTTTTACTTGGGTCAGCATGGGACAGAGAGCCTCTTTCCTCTGACCTCCTGCTGGAAGGACAGGCAAGTTATGGAGTGGGGTCTTGCTAACATTTTCCCTGGGGAGCTTATGCTGAAAATTCTAGATGATTGCTGTAACTGTAGTATATAGGCAGGAATCTTGCTTTTTCCATGGCATCTCACTTTCCCTGAGCAGTATGCCTCACAGAGAGGCTGGCCCTGCCAGGAAAGAATCCAGGACTATGGAGATTGCAGCTGTTGGGTACACCATTCAAAACGTGCAGGATGTGGTTCAGTATAGAGCACTTTCCCACATGCTCAAGGCCCTGGGTCCTATTCCCAGCACTGCAAAAATGGAAAAAAATCAGTGAGAGTTTTGTTTCATTGCTGAGTTGCCTCTGGGCCGCTGTCTTTGTGTGGTCTCCAGTTCTGTATCAGGTGCAAATCTCCACTGGCATAATCCACTTGAGCTAAGGTTCCTTGCTGTGAGGAGGATGCAGTTGTCCAAGCCAAGTTCCTTGGGCTATAGCACCTAGAGAAGCAGCTAGATTGGATGGTCAGAGAGTCAAGCTTTGAGCTAAATCCTTGCTGAGCCTGAGATCTCTGACATCACACAATCGTATCACATTCATCGTCAACCTTGCCATCGTCATCATCATCACCATGACATTTGCTGACTTCTGAGTGGCCATAACTGGTTAGGCCACCAGCTGAATCTTTGTGCCTCTTAGCCTGGCATACAGTAGCCAACCCAAGTGGCAAACAGCCTGTCCTGTCTGACTTCAACAGCACTGCTCTGTCCTGGCAGCTCTGAGACAGAATCATGGTGAGCAGGTAGAAAAGGCAGAGTTTAGTATTTTAAATCCTTTCTTGGGTGGTTGTTTTGCTTTTTAATGGTGGGGAAGGGCTGAAAAGAAATGTTTCCTTAGACAACTGTGGAAGTCGTGTAGCAACACAGACATTTTTATGTCACATTCCGGAAGGTGAGTGCCTCAGGGCAGTGGACCTGTGCTAGGACCCAGCAGGACTATCCTGGCCACGATTTCTATTCATTAGTTTGTGTGTGGGCAAACTCCTACTGACTGATGACTGCACTGCTGAATGTGCCAGCATTGGCATTTATTGGCACTTAGGGGCTATTGTTTCTCAAAAATGAAATGAAAGTAACTGGAAGAAAGAAAAGCCAGAGGAAAGAGAGCACTTGCAAACCAGGGGCCCCTGAAATGATGAAGGAAGCCAGCAGTGCAGCCAGCCTCTCCTACGTGAGGGTGTTACTGTACAAAGACAGAATTCCCAATGCCCTGCTGCTACTGTGTGCTGGGATGAGGCCATTTCTCCTGCCAGAAGAGCTCATGGGAGGCCCTAGTCCCTCCATTTTGCAATGGAGTCGTTAGATGGAGGACTTTGGAATCCTCAGTGAGAGTGAGCCACGAAGGAATGAGGATCTCCTTAGTCAAGAGTTAGGGCTCTGCAAGCATCCTTTGCTTGCCATGGTGACTCAGGTTGGGTGGGGAGAGGTCCATGTAGCTGCATCTGTCCTGGGAGCTGGCGCAAGGTTCTGTCCCTCAGGCATGTTCATTCCTTCAATGTACACATAGGGAGCTTCCCTGGCATTGAAGCTGAGGGCTGGAAGTGTTGGCCTAGTAGGAAGGGAGTCTTAACAGAGAGGAAGAGCCTGTGTGGCTAGTATCACAGGGCAGTTTGGATCAGGGCTCTGCTACCCAGGTCAGAGGCCAGAAAGGCCAATTGGGAGCCAGCAGTGAGTGGGAAGGAGAGGTCTGGCAGAGGAAGGCACTGCCAACAGGGGATCTGGAATGTGAGATTGAGAGCCCAGAAGAGGCTGACTGTGTTAAGGAGCCTGCAGCTCACTGTGAGGGCTGTGGGGTTGTAGGTTATAGAGTAAAGGGTTCAAGTTTGTATGTTAGAAAGACCAGCCGGACTGGGGCCTGCAGGCCAAAAAGCAACCATGCAGCACTGGGTCCCAGAAGTAGCCAGTGGGGTGCTCGGCCTGGGTCTGGGGACCAGGGAGTCCATGGCTTTCAGAGACATGAAGAAGGTAGGCTTGTTGGGATTTGGCCACCCATTGGCTCAGTCATTTGAGGTCTTGGTGGTGACAGTAGGAGGGGGTCTCAGGACAGAGAGATGTCTGGGATGGTGTGAAGTTTTCTGGTGTAAGCTTTATAACTGAGAACAAATCTTCCTTAGGGTGGGTTCACTGATCCTTCTAAAGTCAGGACTGATGTCCTCCCACTGGATAGTCTATCCCTACTGATGCCCTTGTGTCTGTGCTGGAGAAGTTACCAAGAAGGGGACAGCCAGGGGCATTAGGTGGCATCTCCCTCTGTCATGAGAATACAGACTCCCTTGATTCCTCTTTGCTAAGTCCCATGGTAGACATTCAGCAGAGCCCCAGGGTGAGGTGACCGACCCATCACCCCAGCTTCCCAGGCCATGACGGCCCATGCTAGGCATCTTCTCTATCATTACTTGCAGGACCAGGTGGACACGTTGACCTTCCAGAGCCAGTCTCTGCGGGACCGAGCCCAACGCTTCGAGGAGGCTTTGAGGAAGAACACGGAGGAGCAGCTGGAGGTAGGCACTGCTGTCCGGGCCTCCCAGAGCATGAGAGCCAAGGATGAGACCTCAGTGCAGACCTGCTGCCGAAGTGACAGCTGGTTACAACCTCCCTGGCATGGTCAAACAATGGCTGTCAACACCTCTCTCCTGGGATAGACCACAGCCGTGGGGTTCCCTGTTGACCAGCTGTTGTGCCACATCCCAGTTGGGGTCCCTGGGCTTTTGTGACATGCACATCTGAAAATACCACCTCTACCCCATCCTCCAACTGTGCTTTGGGCTGGTGCAGAGCGGCACCAGCTGCCTGAGTTAGAAGATGGAGAGGAATGTTTTCCAGAAAAGCTGGGAAAACTCCTTTCTCTAATGTAGTGTTGTCTGAAAAAAACTAGGACACCCAGTTAAGTTTGAATTGTAGATAAGTAAAATTTTGAGGGTAAGTCTCTTTCACTGAAATACTTACATGAAAATAAATAAACAAACAAATAAATAAATAATGTTTTTTTGAGATGGTGGCCAGCAGTTCAGAGTCCAGATGTTCCAGTGAGCAATGGCTATGTCTTACTGCTTGCCCCACTCAGAGCTGGGGTTTTAGGGAGCTCTCAGTGGAAAACTAGCTGGGCCCCTGATTAGGGATGCCAAGAGCAGCCTGGCCTCTTACTGGCCTGTGCTGCTCGCTGGGCGGCTGTTACAGAGAAACACTGAGCTGGACTCATGACATTGGGTCACTGTGGGTTTTGCTGAGAACCTGACAAACAGCTTGTCATTTTCTCTCTCTGTAGATTGCCCTGGCCCCTTATCAGCACTTGGAAGAAGATATGAAGAGTCTCAAGCAGGTGTTAGACATGAAAAATCAGCAAATACACCAGCAGGAAAAGAAGATTATTGAGCTGGAAAAGCTGGTGAGTTGGTCGGCTTGCTCAGGAGGGAGCCACACTGATGGTGGTGTTCAGAGAGGTGGGCCCCTTTCCTGCCTATGAGCAGGAAATTCCAGAGCTCAACCCTGAGGAAGCCAGGAGTTCTGATAAGGCCTCTCAGAGGGGCCTTTTTTGTCCAGTGCTGGTGGCTTCCTGGTCAACTGGCTGGCTTCGTCTTTGCTTCACTCTGTTTTTCCTGTGAAAGTGCTGTGTGACCCCTCACTCTAGAGGATGTGGGGTGTCCATCGATACTGAGCACCACTCTCACCTCAACAGCTTGTCTGGGCATAGATGTTTCCATGAGCCATTTTACAGAGGCAAGGTGGAGACTGAGGAGGGGGACAGTGTCTCACCGAGAGCTAATGAGTGGCCGGGGAGTCCTAGCCTGGTGCTCCAAATCCCTATCTGGCAGAAGGGGCAGAAAACTCTCTGGGGTCCCTTTTATAAGCACACAAATTTCAGTGATGGGGACTGTACCCTCAGGGTATAATCACCTCCCAAAGACCCTTGTGAACTCAGACACTCCACCTCAGTCTTCCAGCTGGGCTCCTGGGAACTAGCCAAGAGCACTCCCTAGGGAAACAGAACTCAAGGTTTCACCTCCAACCTGAGGCTTAAGTGCCAGGGAGGGCTGCAGTTCCAGAAAGGTGTCCAGAGTGAGGAGCAAAGACGCCTGTGTCCACCAGAGTCCACCTTTGTGCAGAGGTTAGGAGGGGACCTGCATAGATTCTTATTTTTCCCCTTATTCTTTAAAATAAATTTTGCTGCTATAAAAGGCAAATATATGCATTATAAAGTAAGATAAAATAAAATAAGACAATTAAAGCATCATATTTCTACCACCATTAATGCCTCCCGGAGCTGCTTCTTGGACACATGCATGTGTGTGCGTGCACACACACACTGCATTTTGCACTAAACAAACATCTGTAGCCTCCTAACACATCTTTAACTTGCCACCTCGAGAAGTGATCACCTTGTTTCTGGAACATGTTTTGCAGCTGGCTTATCCAAACCAGTTGCTGATCCCAGAGCACCTGTTGCTTTTGGTTCTCATGTCCCCTCTCTGCCTAGCACTGTCCCTTTTTGCAGATGTCTTTTACTGCACGGGTGCTTATCAGGTAGGAGGCACCCTGCAGATGAGCATCTGTTACCAGCATCTAGGTGATGGGGGTCACCTGGCACATTCTAGCAACTCAGACCTTCCCAGCACCTGCCATGATCTGCAGGGAGCACAAGAAAGTGCCTACCGCCCACCGGACCCTTGTGTAGCCTGGCAGTGTGGGGACAGGCCTCTCTGAGAGCAACCAGCCATCCTCCTCCTCGCTAGGCTGTCTGCATTGGGTCATCCACAATAAACCCTGGGTTTATCTGGCTCTTTGGCCATGTCCCAGAATTCTGCAGACATGCCTGACTTCTCGCCCTGGAAACCTTTCTAGACAAACAAACCTATTTGCTCACTTCCTGTTTCCCAGGAGCAAAGATGAGAGCTGGTTGGGATGTCTTGCTGAAGATCAGGGACAGAGGCCAGTCCTGTGGCTAGGGTTCCCAAGGTCTAATCATAGGCAAGTGACAGTTTTCCTTAAAGATTAACTACATGAGCAGTGAATATGTCATATTCTTTCAAAAAATAATTTATTAGGTGTCAGGCTCTGGCGGGGGGCACAGTGACAGGGAAAATGGCATAAACTGGACAGGAATAACAATCATGGGATGATGGAATTTTTTGAGAATGTGTCAAGCTGGTCTTTGTGTTTCTAAAACAAACCTTTGCTTACTATATTTTGCAAAGCAAAGAAGAACCCCAAGATTTCCAGAGTTCTTTGTGTTCCTCGATGCCCAGCTCCTCAAAGTAAAAAGGCTGTCCATGTTAATTGGTGCAGACATTGACACACAGCTCACACATACTCTCATGTGCTCCCACACTCACACTCACTTGGTTACACTCTATGTGCTCACACTCACATTCAACCAACTGTAGTGCCCACTGGTCAAAAAAAGGTCCTGGTGGTGTCCATAGCTTGTCTCTGACAATGGCAATGGCCTGGGACAATAACTGTAAAAAAAGTATATTTATCTAGGAACTCAGCTCACACACACAACATAAACAAAATTTAAATATATGGCTAAAATGTATGTAATAGTGTTCACTTTTACTACATATAGTGCATTCTGGCATTTTTTTTTGGTTTGCGTGATTTTGGTGGTACTAGGGTCCTCATGCTTGGAAAGTTCTCTACCACTTGAGCCATGTCCCCTGTCCTTTTGTTTTTAGTTTGTTTGTCAGGTAGGGTCTTGAACTTTTGCCTGGGCCTAGCCTTGGACTGCAATCCTCCTACCTCCACCTCCCAGGTCACTGGGATTATAGGCATGTGCCACCTCACCCAGCCAACTCTGGAATTCACTATTTTGTTTAAAAAAAGCCAAGGAGACTGGTTTACTGCCTACAGTGTGGCTTTGCTCTGAACCTCTTCCATACTGCCCCCTGTATAGGCTGAAAAGAACATTATCCTGGAAGAAAAGATCCAAGTCCTCCAGCAGCAGAATGAAGACCTCAAAGCAAGGATTGACCAGAACACAGTTGTCACTAGGTAGGTGGGCCTGGTATCTGGTCTAACAAATCATGTGTCACCTTAAAAGTGACTTTGCCCTTGAGCTTCTGTTTATCCCAGTGTCAAAGTTGCCTCACCCTGAGCCATGAGGCCTCCTGGCATAATCTCTTGGCATCTTCCATAAGACCAAGAAAAGCACAATACTGTGACTACTTGGTCCACGCAGTAACTGCCCTGGGAAATGAGTGCAGCCAGCAAACGTGGGCAGTGGGAGCCTCCCACAGCACTGGGTGGTGCAGGGATTTCTTTCTGGAAGAGAAATAAGGAGAGGAGCAGGGGTGGAATGCTCCCAGACAAAGGAGAACCAGTACTAGGTGAGGCCTCCCCACCTCCCGGCTTCTAGAAATACCATTTCTAGCTAGGTTCAGCCTGTCCCTGCAGGGTCTGCTCTGGGGAGCCTCCCTGCTACAGCTTAGAGAGGGTGAAATTAGGGTGGTGGCTTCCTTAGCCAGCTGCAGGTCATTTTTCCCATGAAGACTGAGCCACACTGGTGAGACCCAGGCCTGAATCCTTGCCTTGCCTTTGGTCCTGGACTGGGCTTCTCCATGTACCCTAGTGTGTCATCTGTGCACAGACACACACAGGCATGCTCACTTGCACACACATCCCCACACTCATGCACAGTCATACGCTCTCACACTCATACCCACTCTCACATGCCCTTGAACTTGCTTGTACTCTACTGGCTCACACTCGTGTGTTTGCATACTTGCCCTCACACACACACATGTTTGTCTTGTGCACACACACATGCATTTACATATGCAGTCTCACTGGCCTCCCTGCACCCTCAGCCTGAGACTGGAGAACCCACTTGGGTGCCACTAGCCCCCGGGGATCTGCCAGTGCCCTCTTTAGGCTTCTTGTGGGCCTCAGTCTGTCCAATTTTAAAACACATGTGAACTTATTCTTGTTAATTCCTCAAAGGTTATCATTTTAAAAAAATTTGCAAGAAAGCCAGCAGCTCAGGCTTCATGACAGAAAGCACAAGAAGCGATTATTTTTCATTGAGCATCCTTTATCAGCAAACATTAACCAAGCATCTGTTGTGTGCCTGATACCACGTTGGATGCTAGGGTGTCAACATGCAGAGCCTTGCCCCTGTCCTGTAGGGCTCACGGTCCAGCAGGTGGAGAGATCATAGACTGGCGATGGCTACCCCTCCCCTTGCCATGCACCCCTAGCTAGATCTCAAGTTAAGTGTCATCGGCATGCTTGCTGCCTGACTATCATTCTCCCCCGTGCAGACAACTGTCAGAGGAAAATGCTAATCTCCAGGAATATGTGGAGAAAGAAACCCAGGAGAAGAAGAGATTGAGCCGAACTAACGAAGAGCTGCTTTGGAAGCTCCAAACTGGGGACCCAACCAGCCCAATTAAACTATCCCCCACGTCCCCCATTTACCGCGGCTCCTCCTCGGGACCCTCCTCTCCAGCCAGAGTCAGCACCACGCCCAGATGACGTCACCATGCAGCCTATAGGAGCTCCGGCTTCTGTCCACCAAGAGAGTGCTGGCCAGGTGCTGGCCCAGCTGGCCTGTGCGCATGCTCAGTAGCTGCATAATGCATCCTAGGCAGCGTCCTCTTCTGTCCCCTATGTAAGACTGTCCTGGTATTAGGAAGGTGTAAACAGTAGAGTCTGATGTGCAAAAGTGTTTTAATCATAGTTAGAGCCAAAAGAAAGACAAGTCCAATTATTCTTGAGCAATGACCTTCCACTGCAGAATTTCAGGTTCGTCACAAATAGCTCAGTTTTGGATATACTGAATAATCATTATGTACTGCACCGATACGTGTGTATATTCAGATATACATAGATACACAATCGGTGGTTCTGAATTGCATTTTTTATAATGTGATATGCTGACGTATTTTAGTGAAGGTCAGCAGTTTTCTAACTTGTGCCTAAGAATTATTGGGAAACAAAAATGCATTTCTATCTAGCCTCCCAGGAATATTTCTACCCAAAATAGAAAAAGGAAAAAAAAAACAGATTCAGAGAAGAAGCGCCTTTCAACCTACCACCAAGTGATATTCTGCTTAACACAAACACCAGCGATCTGTGAACATTGACTGCCTTTGGAACAATCAGCGTCGTAGTGGACATGACGTGAGGTCACTGTTACTCCATTCACAGGTCTTAATTATGAATCCCCCTGTCATGAGTGGATGCCCTCGTGCGTCCACAGGGGAGACTGTAAGGGTTGAGCAGTTTTACCAGTGTTACTCATGACAGCGACTCATGTATAGTCTTGTAAACACAAGTTTTGCTTTTTGCCTAGATGGCATCTTGCAGTCGGTCATTAAGCTATTTCTGCACATGGAGGAGCACGATCTTTTAAAGAGAGGGTGAGGATGACCTTGGAGATGACCGATACCTTTCGTGTCCTATCCTTATGAAGGAAAATTGCTGATAGGGTCCATCTTTAACCGGGCACAGAGTAAGAAAGTATCCTGTGTTATTCCATTTGGTTTGCCCTGGTGTGATGCTATAAAAATGGTCAACTTATTGAATTACCACCCTCAGGCCTGCATTTCATAGGCACCCACTTCAGTTTGGTTCTGTAACTTAACACCATCACTGCACATTGAGATGGTTCAGGGGTTCTAACAGGGGCTTCCAGAAAACCAACCTATCTGTCCCAGGGGACCAGGTCTAAAGGTGCTAGGTCACCCCACTCCCAGAAACCCAGTTCTACTTTCTGTGAGAGGACCACAATGCTGCACCTGACAGGGGTCCCATCTTAGGGGCTCCCAAACAGAGGGGCCCAGTGAAACAGCCAGGCAGTGGTCACCAGCTACTGGACTGGCATTTGTCTCTGAAGTGGTAGAATTAGATCGTGAAAGGTGTTCATGTAGTGCTGTGGAAGATTAGGAGCATGACACACAAAAGAAAGAAGTAGTTTTAACAGTCGATATGATGATAATGACGCCTTCGTTTCCTGTATGTGACAAACACCCTGCACTTTTCTCCCAAGGCCCCTCAAAAGTTGTCCTGAGCACAGGCCTGTCTTGGAGCATGCCCACAGCAAGAAGAGTCATGGAGGCGGGAAGAAATGGCCTGTGGAAAGGGTTGGCTTGCCCAGGGTCACATGTGTGACCAACACGGAAGAAGATGTGGTCTATGTCCCTCCCGTGGTTGAAAACTGGGCTTCTAGCTTCAAGTACATCCGTGTCTAGCAAACCTCCAAGAACCTTACCTTTCTGGGGATATACACAGTAGATACATATTGAAGAAACAGGTCTTTTCCCTTTTGTGGTTCTGCATGATAGTGTGATGCTGAGTTGGGCGTTCCATTAGAGTAGAACATTGCTAACACACAATTACTTATTCTTTTAGCAGGGACAACCTGCAGACACAAGTTTAGTGGCAGCTTAGCTCTCCAAACTAGAACCCACTTGTGTAACATAACCTGCTAAGCACAACTCTACAGCAATACAGACTTCTGTGTGATGTTAGAATGTGGTAGTGTGTTCAGCTGTTGTGGCCAAGTTGTAGCAATGTTAGGACTAAGTAACCCTCACTAGGTGGACTAGGGCTTTGCCCCAACCAGCCCTGACCTTGGGTGCTTGAGTTCATTTCCCCATGGCCCTGGCTTTGGTTTTCCCTCATGGATACCCACCATGTGTGGCTCCTTATCTGAGTTACTTCTCCCAAAACACAGGTGGCCATAGTTGCTATGCCTCTGTAAGACTTCTGCCCCACCCATTAGAATCTGGACCTCTCTGGAGATCTGGAGGTCTTCCTCTGCTCACCCCCCCAGGCTGGGGCGCTACACCCTCCTCAGGTGCTGCAGACACACTTGCCACCAGCAAGGTCTTCATGGCACTGGGAGACCTGTCATTGCCTGCCCCGACCCCTGCTTGCCACTGACAGGGAGGAGGTTCTGGCCGGACGTCAGGACAGAGCAGGGCTGGGGGGCTGGCACTCTCTGGGATTAGTTGAAGGGGATCACACCGTTCCTTTTCCTGCCCCCTCCAGTTTCTGTGTTGCATATTTGTGTTGAACTCTAAAGCCTATTAAAATGACTTGAGGGACTTTCTGTGCTATCCACTTGGTGAACTGGAGATCTGTCCCTTTCTGACTGGGAATCCCAGGCAGAGATATAAGGGGGTCTTTTTTGTGTGTGCCAAGGACAACTGATTATCACTGAGAGAAGTCTAGGGAATCCCCAGTCTGCAGACTCAGTAGGTCCAAGGTCCCTACAACCTCCTTTCTGCCCTGGGGTCTTCAGCAGCCCATGTCTTGGTCCCATGGCTCTGCTCTGTCCAGCTAGGGTAAGCTGAAGTGGGTTGGAACGAGGACACAAAATCATGAACACAACCCCTGTACACACACACACACACACACACACACACATATACACACACACATTTATTTCAAATTCAGAACCTGGAGAGTGTCTGTTTCTCCTCAAAAGAGAGTTTGATCTATCTCTATTCCATCCATTCCGTCCAGTTGTATGGTTTTCCTCTCATGGGCCCTCCTGGAGTGGTGGAGTGGTGTGCTTTCTGGCAGGTCAGGATGCTGGCATCTCTGTGGCTCTTTCCATATTCTCGGAATGATAGCCAGATACCCGTTTATCCATTTCAACCTGAAAGTGCCCACTCCCCTATCCAGCCCGCCTTTGGTTTGGGCTGTGGCTGGTTTGGCCACCCTGGCCTGACCCTGAAGTGTCCCACAGATATCTGGCACTGATTGGGGTCACAAGGGAGACCCCTGGGTTTGTCAGCAACCTGTGGTGGTATTGTAGGATATAGGGAATGGTAATTACTTTAGGGAGACGGTAGCCAGTCTGCCCTTGTGAACAATGGCTGAACAATAGCCCTGTGGAAAGAACATACTTCAAGTCACTTCCTGTCGAGGTGAGGCACCCCAGCATACCCTCCCCTCCAGATCATCCACAATTCCCAGGCTATTGACAGCGACTACCAATAGACTGATGCTTTACCTGTCAACGTATCCCAACCTTCTAGATCCTCCTAGGGCATCTTTAAAGCCCTCCAGTTTTATAGAAGCCACCTTTCACTATCCTGGCCTCCACCCTCTGTGGTAAGCAAGGCAGATGTTGGTACTTCCACTTACGAAGGAGCCAACTGGTGACACATCCCTGGGATATGCTGGAAAGATCAGAACCAGCCCTGTCCTGTCTGTGTCCCCTCCCGTGGCTGATTTGTGGCCTGGGAAGTCATTTGTCTGTCACCTTCTCTGTATCAAGGAACCTATGGGTAAGACTTATGCAATCTTAGAGGAAAGGGGGCTAGAGAGGAATTAAGTGCAGATAAGAATGGGAGCATTAGAAGGCACCCACCTGTGGTGGGAGTTGAAGGTCATTCTCAAAGCTGGTGCTGCCATCAGTGCATGGGTGAAAGCAGTCTGGACCGCACTGTCATGCCACACCAGAGTACATAAGAACACACACACACCCACACACGCACACATACATGCTGCCACCCCCCATCAAAGGCTGGCAAGCTGCTCTGGCTATAAGGTCAGGAGAATTAATTAACTTTAAATCATGTTTGCTAAATATCTTTGGGAGATTCCTTTTCCCAAATCTCTTGCTCCAGACTTCACAAAAACAAAACAATGAAGGATGCCTGAACACCCAGCATTTCAGAACCCTGGGCTCTTTCACTCCCCTCCCAGCATGGTGAGCCCGCCTATTTACTTCACTCTCTTACCACCCTTGAAAGTTACCATCCAGCAGGGTGGGAAGGCAGCCCTGCGCACCTACCTGCGTGTATGACCCGCTGGGGAGCCTCTGCCTCCTTTCCTCTTGAGCACCCACACCATAGACATCTGAGCAAGGCCACCACACAGATGCTGTCTGCCTAATGGATTCTTATTTGTCTGCACCCAAATTAATGAGGCAGGGAGCAGGCTTCATCTGCACTATCCCCACTGCAATAGTGGAATACCGAGCTCCCAGTGTAAAAGCACAGCTGGCAAGGTTGCCCCCCAGCACAGCTTCTGCCTGCCTTCCCTTTCAGTCCTCAGCCCAGTGGGAGGTGTCTGGCCTAGCCAGGATGCCAGAGTTTGCTGGAGCTGTGCCTTTTAATAGCAAAAGCCCTGCCTATTTTACTCTGGAAGCCCTTTTGTCACATGGCACTTTTTTATGGCTGTATGTATGGCTTGGTGGACAGGCTTAATTTGGTTACATTACCTACAGTTTGTCCCAACCCTCCCCACTTCAGCCCCAAACTCTGCCCAGGTCTGTGCAATGGTGGCTGCTAGATTTGAAAGGCCAGGGCAGTTCCTGGGCTAGGGTTCACAGGATTCTTCGGCACCCTGAATGTGCAGCATAGAAGTGTTTTGTAACCAAACCATGTGAGGGACGGTTTGCTCCCGGTGACGGCAATGGCTTTGCTCCACAGAGGCTTGAGAAGCCTGTCCCCGCCTTTTCCTAAGAAATTGCTGAAAAAAAGTCTTTCTTTTTCATGCTGGCTGCACAGCACCCCAAGGAAGCCACTAGATGGCAGTGTGGCACTGTGAGAATGGGGTCCACTTTGCACATGGCCCAAGTCATGCTGAGACCAGAGGTGGTGTCCTTATGTACAGGAACAAGGCGTACCCCTGTGCCTATTTTTCAATTCCATTACGCATAGGGCACCCTTGGCTGCTTTGTGAATCCAGGAGGTTAGACTCTGTTCTCACCTCCTTACAAGTTGTGTCCAAGAAGAATGGCACAAGGGGTGGGTGGTACCCTGTCAACTGGACGCACTGCACACCCTTGCTTTCACTCTGCCCAATCTCTGGGGTCTGGTCTCCATGTGAAGTGCCCCCTTAGAGATTCCTGTCACATGTATGCTGGGTGCAAGGAAGAGAACAGCTCGCTGCCCTTCTGTCCATTTCCCAGGTGTCTGCCTCCAACACCATCCATCAGCTGAGTAAATGCAAAGGTTAAACCTCTTCCAGCATCGTCTCTGTGCATCACTGCTCTTGGGATCTGAGAATTAAGTCCTATTCAGCTCAATTTTCAGCCTATGCAAAAAATATGAGGAGCTCCCTTTCCCCAGGGAGCAGGGAGTGAGACACTGGCAATTACTAGGGCAGCTGCAATACTGCCCCTAGATCCTCTGTGCCCCGCCATGCACCCCGTTCCCCACAACAAGAGAGTGTGTGGCAGCTAGCACAAACCTAAGTATCAGGGTTTTTTGCTGAGACCTAAGTCCTCTAGGATATGTCTGAGGGCTGGTAACCTCCCAGGCCAAGGCCCAGACCCAGGCATTGTCCACACCCCATGCACGAAGAGTAGCAGATGTGGTGGACATCTGCGACCCAGCCAGAGCTGAGAGAATTCCTAAGATCACACAGTGCACATGGAAGCCATAGACAGAATTTATTAGAATCTGCGGAAGCATGAGATAATGTACCACAAAGTAGTTTGATGTGACAACATAAAGCACGGTAGGAAGTTCTCAATGTATAGTGTAGTCAGCAGAAAGGGGAAACAGGGCAGTTTCACATTTTTTTTTTAAAAAGTGATGGACGACACCTGCACTTGTCCTTAAAATAATAAAATAAAATATTATATAATAAAAAAACAGGAGGGGCCCAGCAGAAACCAACTTGATACAGTTAGCATCAGAATCTAAATCTATTACCACTATTATAAGAAAACTATTAGAAAAATAGAACATCAAACAAGCAAAAAATATCATACAATTTATATAATAAACACATAACTCTCAATAATGGCTCCATGTTCAGTAGAAGAAAACATTTACTGGAAAAACCACAGCTATTCAGGTTTGATAATAAACCAACTCTCACTAGCATCATGACCCTTTGTGATCCTTAAAACCATCGAAGCTGAAAGGCACAAATGAAGCAAAAAACATATTTTAAATATACATTAGAACTTCTCAAATGGGAAAATAAGTCCCTAACTTTAAAAGTTTGTCACCGAGAAACACTAAATCATATACCTTGCTAATAAATTAACAAAGTCTGAACACATTCCCAGTGCTGCCTCCTGACCCTGCTGACATCCCCAATATCCTGAGGACATCTGTGTGGTCAAGGTCTTGTCTCTCATGGGTTTTTCAGCCAGCAGATCAGAAACACACAAACAGAAAGATCCAGGAGAGTTCCTTGATCACTGTGCCGCAAGACTCCTGGCTACACAGGTCTCTTTGGGAAGAGAGCCTTGTGGCTCAATGGAGTGACAGGTCTAAAAAGGCTCTGGATGAGAGTGAAGCTGAAAGCTAGTTGACATGAGCATCATAACCACGATGACAAATGGAATGCATCATCTTGTACCACTGTGTTGATAAAGCTTTCCATGACCCCAGAAAAGTCTCTCAAAAATGTACATCTCACTGTCCTTCAGGAGCCTTACACAGAATCTTCTCATTATGGTGGCAAACAGATAAAAATTTAAGTTATATAAAACAGTTAACATACAACATATTCAGTTCTGTCTGAACTTGAACTCTGTAACAGTTCCATACATAAGTGTCACACCCTCTGCCCAGCACTGTTCTCCTCTCAGAAGCCCACCAGAGTATGGACCTGGATATACTTCTCCACCCATTTACCAACACCGCCCTGGATGGGCGCCCAGTGCTTAGGTCCCTTGCTGCCTGTCTTTATGACATTGGCTCTTGAGTGCCAACAGAACCGTCAGCTTTTATTGGAAAGAAGTCTGTGAGGACATGGAATGCTCAAATCAGACAAGATGGGTCTTGCAGGAGCCAGGCATGTTGTCTAGCAGCAAGGCTAGTGTGGGGACATGTCCACATCACACCAGCCTCCCACACAGCCCATTCCAAGCTATCATTCACCTAGCATTAGCGGAGAGCCATACTAGGCATGGGCTAATTTGCAAACACCAGCCAATCTAGAACACTGCCTGCTGTCAAGGGCAAGGGGATAAGAGCAGCAGATGCAGGAGGCAAGGTGAGGTGGGGCATGACCTTCCACTGGGTACACACACTGGCCATGCCAAAGGTGCAGCTGGGAGCATGCCAGGGACTTGGCCACTAGGAGTGGGTGAGGAAGCCTGGTATCCCCACAGCTGCCAAACCACCTCATCAGCAACGGGACAAGTGGCTGCCAGTCAGATAGGGATAAGAGACTCAATAGCAAGTTTGCGCTCCAAGGCCAAAACCCCAAGTGGGCCTCTCTGAAACAGTCCCAGAGAGAAGCTTCCCCCTTCTCTCTTGCTTTGGAAAATAAATCCTCTCAAAGGCCTAGCTGAGAGGTGCAGACAGGGATGATGTGTCATGCATGCAAGCAAAGACCCCATGTCTTTCCAGGCAGTCGCCTCCCCCACAGAAGGCCACCTCCTGGAAGGTGGTCCCAATGCTTGCTGTCCTGGAGACACCCTACACCCCACTCTTCAGCAGAGCTCCTTGGGCCAGGGTTGGGGGGAGGGAGAGGAGACAATCCATTGTTTTGGATTCTTCATGAATTTAGGCCCAGGGATAGGAAGGGTACAGTCTCACTGAAAATGGTGTTTCCAATGTGAATATTTGGGACTAGTACAAGGTGACAGTGGATACATCATTCCTGCAAGATGTGTTTAGAATGTATGTAAGTTCTGACTATGCGGAAAAATACTGGCCAAGACAAGACATTGAGAATGATATTCTCATTTGTGTGTGGGGGGGTGTGTGCAGATGTGAAACTACTGGTCATTTTGAAGGTTTTTGTTATGTGTTTTCTTTGTTTTTATTTCAAGGCAAGGAATGAGGGATGTGATAAGAAAAGGTCTGTTAAAATCGCAGGCTCACCCCAAGCACTGTTACCTATACTATCATTGTTCATGTACACTGAAGAAAAACCCCACAGTCTACTCTTAATAAAAGAATGGTGTCCTTTCCTGGCTAGAAAGTACTTCCTCCATCAAGGGAGGGTCCAGGGTGCTGCATCCCCCGCCACCACATGCTAAGGTGCCTGAGCGAGGAAAGGAGGACAGACTGGCAGATGTCAGTATGTCCTCGTGATGGGAGACAGTGGAGGGTCAAGCCCCAGATATACCTTTCTACTTGGTAGAATGATATAGGCTATGAGCCAAAATGTCTGCTGTAAACAGTTGCTGTCTTGCACAGAAAAGTTTCAACCAGAAAGAAATTAAAGTCACAAAATTCTCCCACCATCTCACTGAATACCCCTTTTCCCTCAAGTCTTCTTTGCCTTTGTAGAAAAATAATAGGGGGAAAAATCAGGCAAACAAATAGCTAACAGAAGACTGACAATCAAAACCAACAAAATAAATTAATATTTATCAAAATATTTTACAGCACCAAGCTACATAAACTTAAAATACATTTCTTTGGAAACCCAAGCTTTGGGGTCTTATGATACTCCCTCTGGAATATTCTCAGATGATCTTTAGAACAAAGTGTCCAGAGTGGCAGTCAGAGCCTGAAGATCCAGTGTCCTTGGTCACTGGCTGACTTGGCCTTTCAACTGTTTGTTTTTTTTTTTTTTTTTTTTTTTTTTTGGTGGTGCTGGGCTTAGAACCCTTTGGCTGTCTGCTTACTAGGCAAGCGCTCTACCATTGAGCTACACCCCAGCATCGCTAATTCTTGCATTTTTGTCTAAAAAGCCCCTGAAGCAGAGAGAAAAAGACAAGTGCTATCAATTTATCAGGCTTCTTTCTATCGGCTTTATATCAAAGGCCAAGGGGGGAAGTAAGGGGAACTAGGCTTCAAAAGCAGCATTTGCACTTCCAAGGACCTTCCCACACTCTCTCCTGAGGCCTTTTGGCTCCCAAGGAAGGATACACTAAGGGGAGGGGAGGGAGGCTCCATCAGCACTCTCATCTCCTGTGGCTTTAATCTACATGGAGTGTGCGAAATGGTGCTGGCCACAGGCTCCACCCCAAACTGCAGTGTAGGGGAGAGTGCAGGGGGACACAGGGAGCCACAAGGTCCAGGGCAGGGTCAACATGTCACCGGTTTGCAAAACTGCAGCACTTGGAGGCCAGATACACAAGAGGGACAGCAACAGAGCTGTGAGGCAACTCCTGTGTGGACCACACCACCCTGATCCATAAGCCGATGGCATGTGGTAATTATTTGTCCTCTTTCCAAAGTCATGTTAAGTCCCAACTTAATTTGGTGGAGTGAATCACAGCAGCTAAAAGGAAGGTTCAATTTCATTACATGTACGAGGCCACCAGGGCCACATCGGGTGTCACGACCCCAGACCAAGCTGCCACCTGTCTTGAGAACCTTGTCAGACCCAAGAGACTGATGCACAGGGATCACGGGGCAAGATGTGGTGAATGGCAAGGGCACACCGAAAACAGAGCTCTAAACTCTGCCAGCGTGAGGCTGTCCTACACAAAAACAGTCTCAAATTCCAGTTACTCAGAACACAAGGCCAGCGGGGACAGACGCCAGAAAGAACAGGAACTGATCCAGGTCTGGAGTGAGTGGACCTGGAGAATGTCCCCTGGTTTACGTGCAGACACGACACCCTGACACCATCGTTCCCACCACAGCCTTCCATCTTGTGTGCCTAAGACGAATCACCTGCTCTTGACCCTGCTGTTTGTTGTGCCTGGGTTGGGAGTCTGTCTGGGTGTCAGAGCAAAGCCCTGCTCGGAAGGGATGTGAGGCGGGGGAGAGGCCCAGTTCTAACAATCTTGTCTGGAGGCAGCAGGAGAGGAAAATGGCGCTCTGGGGTGGCATAGCTGGGGACGTGCAGTCTTGTGGTACTCGTCTTGCATCAGTGGCGGGCTGTCGGAGCTGAGAGGGAGGTGCCTAATACAGGTCTGGAGTGTGCACTTTGCAATACCTGGGCAGCCTGGGAGGGAGGGCTGCTTCCAGGTAAGGACAAGAAGGGACTTCCTTCTGCCAGGGCCACAGCAGTGAGGTGCTGAGCTGGCCAGGACAGGGGCTCTTGTCTTTGTTCAGAAGGAAGTGAGGAGACACGTGACCAGCCACATCTGGCCAGGCCACGGTGGCTGTAGGTGAGGCTGCAGTTCAATTAGACGCACCTTGTGGCGGCACTGGGGATGCAGGTGGTTCCTGTCACATTGGTGGAGAGTGTGAGGTGCTCCCCAGTCCGATGTGGCTGTCCCTCACGGCTGCTACCACCTCGGGCGGGCAGGGCTGCATGTCACTTACACTGATTCAAGTTGCCATCAGGAGTCCTTGCCTGGTCAGCGGCCAGGGATGCCTCCTCGCTGTGCCACAGCCCATAGCCAAAGTAGATGACAAAGCCTGCAGCCAAGAGCACAGTTGTGAACACAGTGGGTGGGGTCATCCCACCCAGGCTGACCAGAGAGCCACAGAGGCTGCCCAGAGCTCACCTACACCTGTACCTAGAAAAACACAGCTCTTCAAATGATGTCAGCCAAGTTCTTACTTCTACCATGTCAAAGCTATGCATGTCTTATGGATGGCCTCCCACTGCGGCCTCCTGAGCAGTGATGTGGAGGGCCACAGAGGCACTGGGCCTTTCAGCTTGACTCTGTCCACCTCTGGATGGCCTGAGAGTATTGGAAAGTCATACTGCTCCCTGCCTAGGTAGGGTTTCCAGCAGGCATGAGAGGTCCCTAGTCTCTCTTCCTGGGCAATCTTACCAGCCCTGCCTTTCCTACATTATGTGACCATGAGACCACAAGGAAACATTCGACACCTGGGAATGTATTTCATATGAGAATCCTCAGTCCTGTTCCAGCATCCTGAACTCCTGAGGTTTTAGTAGGTTCCTGGCATCTGTGCTTTTAACCACCCATCTACTCAAGAACTGTGGCCACATTGTCCAAGGTCACCTTGTGCAGTTGATAGAAAAGAACAGACCTAAAGAAAGGGGCCAAGGAAACAGCCTCATGCTTTGGTACAGGAATTTCTACAGGAAGATTGGGAAGGGGTATCCCCCAACCTGCACAAGGAAGTGGCCACAGTGGGCACCTCTCTTGACTGCAGAGAGTAAGGACCCATCCCTGGGCCCCAAAGTCTGCAACCTGGTCATCTCATGTCAGAAACAAGAGAACTGCCATCCCATTAAGCCCTTCCCCTGACACACACCACCACCACCACCTCTCCTGGATACTGTCCTAGACACTGTCATCAGCAGAGGAGCCAGGGGGACAGGCACAGCCAGACTTGTCTGGAGAAGTAGTGCCTTAGTAAGGCACTCATACCTTGTGCATATTAACATCAAGCTTCCGCCTGGTGAGTTTGGGCAACAGACTATCATTCAATGAAAAGTATCTAAGAAGGAGGGAGGCCCCATGGCCTCGGGGTGATCTATACTGTTTTAGAGAAAACTATTGACACAGGTGTTTCCTTCTGTCATTCAATCAGGAACAAGGGAGGCTCTAGGACATTAACCATCCAGCTGAGGCATGGGAAAGAGTAAGTAGCTCTGCACAGGCCTGGAAGGGGAGGTTCCTGAGAAGCTGTTTGCTGCAACAAAACCCACAACCTAACGTACCTATCAGCATCCACACTGCAAACCGGACCCATGTCCCCTGATCCAGCTGCATCATGAGATAGATGTTCACGAAGATGCTCAGGATGGGGAGCACTGGCAAGAAGGGCACCTGCAGAGACAAAGGGCAGTGTCAGATCTGACACACATCCCCACCCACACGTAAATCCTAATAGGTGGGAGTGTGGCTCTAAATGCCGAAGTGAGCATATTCTAATTTTCCTGCTAAAGAAAGGACTACAGAGGACTTCTACTATAGCACCAAGGAATGATTTTATTATCCATATTAAAATTGCAAAAGCCTTGATCATCTCCAAGAATTGGAAATGACACGTGACCCATCTAGACAGTCATTTATGAGAAGCCCCATGAATGAGGTGCACCCCATCACCTTAGAGCCCTCTGCCATACTCCCCACACTGGCAGGCAGGAACTGTCCTGTGGAGCATTCAGGGTCAGCCTCCTAGCAGGAGGACCACGTGTAGGACTCACAGAGTAGGCCCCTATACGCCTACTCACCTTAAATGAGAGCTTAGTCTTGCTTTCAGGCTGCCTCCAGATGACGCCCGTGACTACTACACAGAGGAGTAGAGACACTGAAACCACAAAGACTGCCCACAGCTCTCCTTTGGCTAGAGCATCTCTCCCAAGCACGGCCACCATGCACAAGGTGATGATAAGAACAGCTAAGAGGAAGAGAAAAGAGAAAGGTGCAAACTCAACCACTTCTCAGGAATCCCACAGGTATCCTCAGTTCTCCCCAAAACCTGTCCAAAAGAGGGCTCCATTTCTGTGTCATTAACTACAGTTGGGACAGAAAAGCTGGTAGAGCAAAACAGATGCTTGTCCTTTCTGGCAACGTCCCCCACCTCATACCTATACTCATTGACAAGAAGCCACACAATGCTAACAAGTAAGACCCCAGAGCCCTATGGACAAGAGGCAATCTCTTACCTATGACACTGGCTGAAATATTCACAATTAGCCCAGAGAATTTAGAAGGCTCCATGTTTGTGGGTAAGAGTATGGCTTTCAGAGAAAATGTCTCCACTTCTGGTAAAAAGCCCATCTGAGAGTCGCTGGTGCTCACCAACTCATTCTGGTCTACTTGATCGAGCTCCTCTGTAGTTCTGGCCATTTGGTATACCAGGTTAGGTTGTTCTGGCTGATACCTGTAAAAAATGTTCATACTTCGTGACACTATAATCTGGTTTTGTTAAGCAAAAGGGCATGTCCCAATTTAAGTTCTCACTAAGGCTTCAAAAGTAAGTTGCCTGGAGAGGCACTAATACAAAAACCTTCAAGCAACAGAGGTTATCATGAGAAGGGGATCAGTAACCAGGGTAAAGATCAGTTAGAGATGAATCGACATGGGTCATAAATGAAAGCAATGCTAGGAATATTTCTGGATAGCTATCCTCAACTCAACTAGCAAAAACGCTTGTCTTCGTTATTAGGCTTGTCTCTTTTCTTCAACAACACTAGTGATAAAAGCAGAACAGAACCTACCTGGAACTGAGAGGGGAAGGGGAGAGATGGTGGGGGAGAGGGGCAGGGGGGAGAAATGACCCAAACAATGTATGCACATGTGAATAAAAGAATAATAAACAAACAAATAAATAAATAAATGAAAATACATATATATGAAGCCAAAAAATAAAGTAAGTTGCCTAGGCCATTGGCATAAAATGGGAAGGAAATGGTCAGAATGGTGCATTCTCTAGCATCAGAGAGGCACAGAAGGCAACAACAGCATTGTTCTTCCCACTTTTGGGCAACACCCTTCCCTGATGTTTGTTTTGTGGGGAACATGACCTCCAGGGTGAGGCAGACCAGTGGAATGTCCCCAGGAGGTTTTTCTTGCTCAGATAAGTAGCAGTGGCTCTTAGATGTTCAGATATTATGCCACTTCCCACAAAGCCATGGTTGTAGGGAACTAAAAAAGTAAGGACAGAAATAGAAAGTAGTAACACTAGGATCTTATTTGGCACAGAGCATCATGTCTGCAGGCTGACAGATTTGAGAATTTCTATTTGTGTAACCCAATTGGACCAGTTTATTCTAAAACTCCAAGTGCCTTGGAGCCAGGTAAGGGATCCAGCTTGTGGCATTCCTTCCAAGACACCAGCTACCTGCAGGTGAAGCGTCTATTTTAAATAAGGTTCCTTATCTCCCTGCCCAAAATAAACCAGAGTGCTTTCTGAATTCTAAGAGTGGGCATGGAAACAGTTCACTCTTTTTGCACTGATTCACTTTTGCAATGTGACTTGGTCAATTAAGAAAGTAGGGGATGGAGGGTGTGGCTCAAGTGGTAAAGTGCTTGCCTAGCAAGCATGAGGCTGTGAGTTCAATCTTTAGTCCACCCCCAACCTCCAGAAGAAGCTCAGAAAACATTCTAGTTTGAGCCCCTGGGAAGGAGTCTACAAACTAGTTTACACTGATTCTGCAAAGCTGCTGCTGATGCTCAGCCACGTTTTGTGTAAATTAGGTGCTGACCACACTAGAAATTGAGTCAGTGGCCTGTAAATACAAACACCTGAACAGAAATAAGACTCTTGCTGGGTGACCAACACTAGATCTGCATGAACGCATGTTCTTATGATGAATGCCCTCTTAGACCACCCCTAAAGCGTAGCCCTGTCTCCCCACAGTGAAGGACAGCTGAACGCAGGGTGTGCTTTGGGAGGGGTTCTGGGATGGGTGAGAAGGCCAAGGCACCAAGCCTGGGACCAGGGGCTGCTTGAATGTCACTGCCCTCAAGGTGGAAACAGCCAGAATCTGGAAACTATCCTTGAACACTAACTTAGGCCACCCCATACTGGGTAATGGGGTTCACTTCCCAGCCACAGTGCAACCAGCTACAGGGGCATCACACTGACCTAAGTCTCACAGGCCTTGGATTCTGATCCAGCCCATAAGCCCTTGTGTCCCAAGAACTTGGACTGGTTAAAGTCTTTACCCTAAGCCTTCAAAAATTCTGGACCCAGTCTGAACCCTGGGGCTGAGAACCTGTCTTTATCCTCTTAACATCATCAAGCCAGAAAAATGGGGACATGATAGAAGGAAATGGCGATCACCCCTGACTTCCTAAGGATGTCCTCCCAACAGAATCTAAACCACATCCCACCCTCCCCTCAGTACCCCCAGTGGAGCTGTCACCAACCTGAAAGTTACACCATATAGACTAATCATTAAAAATGTTAAACAGCTACAATGGTGTATCTGCATTTGTCATGGAACTCAGAAAAGCATACATACCGTAAGACCAGCACACAGGCAGCCACCAAAGAGTAAGCCAGGAGAGTGCCAATGGACATGAGGTCCACCAGATTCTTCAGGTCAAAGAGGAAAGCCATTATAGCTGGGGAGAAGACAGACATCAGAATTTGTGGGTGGTCCTCTACATGCACTGACAGCCAGGACCAATGCCCACCTGTGATCCAGAGCTTGTAAGGGATGCTGCATTCACTCCTGGTCCCACCCACAGCCTTTCCATGGAAAGACACTGCTCATAAAAGACAGGCCCAGGACTAAAACACGCATATGGTCCTCAGCAGATGATACTAATTATTAACAACAATATTTGATGTTTAAATCAAGTGTATTTTCATCCTTGTTATCCTCATGACAACTTCTTAAGCTATCCCTACAATACAGGAGACACTTATGTTCACATAGGTTAGGAGACTTACCTAAAAGCTACATAGCTAGTGAATGGAAGAGGCAGGATCTGAACTAATTTCCTATGACTGAGTCCAGTGTGACTTCCTCCACACTATGGTGACGCATAAGCCAAATCTAACCATCCATCATCCACCTACCATCCACCCATTTTCCTTCATTCTTTCTTCCTTCATCCAGCACTGGTTGAGTGTGCCAAACACAAGATTCTAGGTATACATCACTGAACAAGGCAGACTACAGTCCCTTGGTTTCCTTGTGAATACCTTCCAGACATGTGCATCAGTAGACAACAGTAATGGGGAGGGAGAGGAGGCAAGTCTGGTGTTCCGGCAGGACTCACAGTGGCTCCTAACCCAGGCAGGTAAGCAGGAAAAGAAGAGTTGTTTCTCACTGTGAAATCACTTCACATAGAAGAAATCTAAAGTGTTATTCACAAATGATATTATCCTTGTCACCATACTCTCCACCCCTGGGTCTTAAGAATAAAACATGCAGGCTTGGACTGGAGGTATAGCTCAGTGGTACAGTGCACGCCTAGTGTGTCTAAGGCCCTGGTGTGTGTCTACACATACACTTATTTGAAAGCCCTTTGTAATTTTCGTAAGAATATGTGTCAATGTTGATGTGTCAAGGTTCCTGTTTAAAAACAACTTGGCAAAATCGACCTTGAGATATTTCAACCACATACAGTCAACACAAGTTAAAAACAAAAACAAAACCATTGTTTTCTCACAACTACCTCTAAAGCTCAACAAATTTAAACTGAGAATAGCATTAAAGAGTAATGAAGGCCTTCTGGATAATTAGAATAGTATCCAACTGTGCATGCCACAAATGCCTAGGTTCCTACTCACACAGAAACCCAAGACAAATTTCTCCATGTGAGGGGATTTTAGAAAACCAAATACCTACTCACCACTCCTCCCAAATGAAAAGAAAGGAGCAAATCCTTAGTTTGGTGAATGCTATGTACTTTACTATCACTTGAAAGATTATAGTTTGATCTCATTTAATCAGCACAGGAAGGAATTAAAGCTAGTCTTTAATATGATCAAATTCTGTATAAACACTAAAAGAAAGTCACTGTTTCCAATCCATAAATATACTGGTCATATTCTGACAAAATGCACCTCTCTGCCTGACTACTGCAATCCTTTGCAACAGTGTACAATTACAAAAAAAATTAATTTAAAAATTGCTTTTTTAAAAAAAAATCAGTACACAAAACTAAACACTTTGCTAGAGCATAAACTCATAAAAGAGTAATTTATCCATTTAAGATAATCAGGTGTCTTCCCAGTGACCATTCAACAAGTCACCATTAGGACTGGTACCATGAGTCCTGATTTATCAGAGAACCGGCTTGGCTGCCTCTGGCATAAACACAAGCTAGGAATGTGGAGCTAGCTCTGCCTGCCTGAGCGTGTATTCTCCTTGCACCTTTGTCTCTAGTTCTCCATCTTCTTCACAGGGGGATGGTACCCATCCCTCGGGGCTCTAACGAAACAGAGCACAGCACCCAACAGCATATGAGCTTCCTCTCAGGTCTCCCTTTTCTTATCAGACCCCTGGAAGACTACGGCTAAGAGTCACTGGGTTCACCTGTCATAAATGTGCTCTCAGGGATGCACCTGACTGGGGAAGAGAAACCTCCTTTGAGTCTGCCATTATTTATAAACTCAGGGGCAAATGGCTTCAGCAGCAATACTCTGAATACCCTCTGGGGAGCAGGTGGTACATTTGAGAAGAACCTGAGTGTGAGGGACATTTGTGTTTGGGAAACCTGTCAACTAAGATACCTGGACACTGAAATTCTAGGTATTAACCAGAAATTAACTGGTCTCACTCAGCTTATATTATGCAGGAAGATGTCAGCCTGCCAAAGCCCACTCAGGGAAACTCGAAAGGGGGAAGATGGATGGCTTCAAAGGGCCCGTGTGTGCTCTAAGCTCTCTCTGTCCATGAAGAGGATAGGAAAAGTTCAAACTCTGAAAATTCCATCACATCCTCTGTAAAGCTGGCCTCTGACTTTTGTCAAACGGGCCGTTTTCTTTCAGCGAAGAAGGTTCTAAGCGTAAAAGCCAAGTTTATAAGGCCAGTTAACATTTCTCACAGACTAGTACAATTCAAGATGTCTCCCTGTGAATGATGACTCAATTGTTAAAATACTGGCACGAGAAATGAATTCCAGTACTTACCAGCAATAGCACCTGAGGTTAGTGTGGCAATAATTGGTGTTTTTGTCCTCTTATTGATTTTGGCTAAAAATTTAAACAGCAGTCCATCTTCAGCCATGGCATAGATAACCCTCGGCATAGGAAACATGGAGCCTAGAAGGCTGGGTGGGGGAAAAAGACAAAATCATGAGTGAAACTAGCTCATCAGCAACAAAGACACACCTACACTACCATGCATGCGTGATTCACCACCATGGGAAGAGATGCCTATTTTTCATCAAGAATTGCCTCCTTCCAAACTGTGTGATCCCACAGCTATACGACTCGGCACTTAAACCAACCCCAGAAAAAGCACATGCTGTAAGTGTGAACCTAACATAAACCAGCATGCAATCCAGGAGTAACTGTTACGAAGGGAATTTTGTATTTATTCCTGCAATTATTTCTGGCCCAATGAAATACAAAATAAAAGCATCACTGTGTTCATGAGGAATTTTCAGTGGCAAATCAATATTTAGCAAATAGTTCCTGTTTACACCGGCTAGCAGGAAATACCAGGGGCAAAATGGTTCTCATTAAAGGCACTTACTAACTTCTTCAAAGGACCCCTGCTTTACAGCCAAACTAAGGACCAACCTAGGGCGGTAAAAGAGGGAACCTGGGCTTGAAGCCAAAGTTAGGAACAGAGAGCCAATCCATGGTAGGTAGATCATAGCCAGAAGTTGGCCTCAGGTTCTTCATGACAAAAATACAGTGGTCTCCCCTTATTCGTGGTTTCACTTTCTGTGGTTTCAGTTACCCTGGGTCAACCATGGTCCAAAAATGTTATATAGAAAATTCCAGAAATGAATGATGAATAAACTGTAATGATTTTTATACACTGTTATAATTGTTCTAATATTACTTAGTATTGTTCATCCCTTCCTGAGCCTAAGTTATTAATTAAATCTTATGACAGTATGTCTGTATTGGAGAGAAATGCTTCAGGGTTCAGTTTTACCTGAGGCTTCAGATGTCCTTAGAGGTCTTAGGGTGTCTCTCCCCGTGGAGACGACTGTATCAACAACAAACAACTCTTGGGGTGATGAATAGCAATACAGGATGGAATATGATTTAAGTTCAAGGGAACATTAGCAGCTAATCTGTGTGTCTGGCTTCCTGCCCTTTGTCCTTCCTAGCAGCACCCGGCTCCCAGGAGGGCCCCGCAGGACGCTCTCGCTCACCTGGCGGACAGGGCGCAGAGGGAGCCGACAGCCACTGCATACTTAGCGCCTTCCCAGCCCACGTGCTTGAAGGCGTCCGGCAGTGGGCTACCTGGGTCCAGGCAGAAGTAGGGCATCATGAGTGTGAGGGCAGCAGACACCCCAAAGTAGGCGACGAAGCAAATCAGGAGGGATGCGACAATGCCCACAGGGATGGCCTTCTGGGGGTTCTTAACTTCTTCACCTAGAAGCAGCAGGGAGTCAGTCGCAGAGGGTAAAATGGCAGTAGCGTCTCAGTGCCAAGGACCCCACAGAACACCAAGAGTGACCACCCCATAGCACTCAGCCTACAGGAACTGAGATTTTCTGGGCTTGCTACGACAGAGGGGTAGGTAGCCCTCAGTTACACACACCAGATGGCCACAGCCCTGGATGGTATTCTCAGCCTTTGTATAGTGAGTCATCTAAAGGAGAAGCCTGTTTCCTTTGGCACTGAAATTTGGGAACCCCGAGGGAGCTTGGTCTCATTCAATCTACCAGGATGACAGTATTTTTAATGGTCTCATTTCTCCTAATGATGCAGATATGAAATCAGGCCACAACCATGCTGTCATTGTCCCACTTCAACAGCAAAGCCCTTAGTTACATTCATGATACAGTTTCCTGTTAGGCACTGGTCCTCGGGGAAGTGATAAAGGGGATAAGGGGAAGATTAGCAGGAAGCAACAGGTCTGCACGTTCCTCATGCGTGCAAGAGTAGCATCTGTAACGTGCCAACAGGGAGGGCAATGCTGGCTGTGGGAACACAGAGCCCCAGGGGGAGCAGAGGCCTGGGATGGGCAGACAGGCTACCTGTGGTGGCGATGCAGTCAAAGCCCACGAAAGCATAGAAGCAGGTTGCTGCCCCAGACAGGACGCCAGAGAACTCAAAGGGCATGAATCCCCCAACACCAAACATCCCCTCTTTGGTGTCACTAGAAAGAAGAGCCATAATCAAAAATTAGAACATGTGTTGGGTAGTCCTATCTAGGAAGCAGCATTTATTTCTTGAAGACAGCAATATGAAACCCTGCACCACGGTTGGTCCTGCACCCTCTTCCCCAGGACCTCAGGGAAAGACAGGAGACCACTATCCACCTAACTGTCCTTGCCCCAGGCCCTGTATTTATCAGCAACTCAAGTCTCAGAACAGACATTCCTGAAGGAACCAAAGTTAAAAAGTGAATTGTTTTATTCAGTCACAGCATTCCTGCAGTGCCTATGTGCGTAAGGTTAAGAGCTGATGAAATGGCTGAGAATAAAAATAAACAGGTGTCATCAGTGGCTTGCTTTATTTAAACAGCCGTGAGGAGGAGCAGCCAGGAGGCAGCTGCCATGTCCAGGGAGCGGGTAGTGCAGGACCCTGAAGAATCATTAAACCCCAGGGAGGGACAGGACTCACAGCAGGGGGCTGCACTGGAATGCACCTTTGTCATGACCTGCAGCCAGGGGACAATGAATATCCAGTGGTGTGGAGGGTGGCAGAAAGGCATCCCATGGCCTCCTTAAGACTGTAACAAGAGACCACCCAGCCCCCAAGGCAGATGGAATGAGGAACAGGTGACTCCCAGAGCAGCAGTACACCCATCCCACCAACTGAGACACCTGCCGTGCCTTCCCTCAAACCCCCCTCAACCCTGCCTGACATTGGTGAGACCAGGTGCTGGCCTGGTCACTACACTGTCATGAACTGACACAGGGAGACCAGGGTGCCTGTGAGCAGCAGGAGAAGTGCAGAGAAATTCAGAACGCACATCAGGGAACAAAATGCACATATTTGCATTTTGTAGTATTAATTTTGTAGTAGTAACAAAAGATTATACACCGGAGGGTGGGAGAATGAAGAGAATGAAGACGAAGAAACAGGAACAAGATTGTGCAATGGAAAACTGTTTTTATAATATTATGGCAAAATAACTACTCAAAAGAACTACTGCCAGGCATAACGGCTCATGCCTATAATCCTGCCACTCTGTAGGCTGAGACAAGTGGATCTAGAGTTCTAGGCCAGCCTGGGCTAAACAAAAAATAAAATAAAATAAATACTAAGTTCAACTTTTAAGTTTGGTCATTACTGATCCCAGAGGCAGGATATCAACATAAAATAACCACAGATCTTCAAATCAAAGCATTTAGAAGTACTTTTGAAAGGCCCTTCATATATAATCAATAACTAAGCTGACACATGCATGCACGGGACAGGAGGTCCACTTGGTACCTGGCGGCTTTGCCCACAGAGGAAAAGGGATGCACTCAAGACCGTCACCTGGCAATGCTGGCTCCTGGCAAAGCGAGACCCCTCTGGCCTCAGCGTAGTGCTCCGTCCTACACTGCATCCCACTCAACTGCCACTGACAAGTTAGGAGGGTCAAAAACCAGCAAGGTGTGTCTTCCACATGTGGCCTTTCCCCACTGCATCAGTGGTACGCATCCTGTATAAGGTTTCCAACCTCAAAATGTCCACCTGACATAAACTATTGATTGTCCCCTATGGCCACTCAGAACCAACCACTCACTTCTCACTCTCTTGGATGCAGGTTGCAGCCATGTGGCTTCCTTCTGATCAGATGTGACGTGTGCATCACCTGAGAAAAGAGCCAGGGATAAGGGGAAGGGAGAGTCCATCTAATCTTCCCTTTTTCTTCCCATAGCTACAGCAAGACAACAGGCCCTAGGGTGGCCTTGAGAACACAGGGGTGGACAAAGCCCTGAGACAGAAGGACTGAATTCCTGGCCTGGGAATGGATATGCTGAACTGACCACATCCATATATTGACTGAAGACAGCAGACCTTCAGTTCATGGAACCAATGTTGTCTTTGTGTTTCCATCCTAACTGACAGACAGAATCTTCTTGACAGGCTTGCACATGGCATAGATGTTACTCTCACTTCTCCAGGATGCTGGATAAGGCCAGAGGCCGTAGGTACCCTCTGCCCCATACTCTTCTAGAAAAGCTGGAGCATGCTTGCACCCACAACCCAGCAACTGGCCAGGCAGAAAATAACAAAGGATGTTATCAGGGCTGAGAGAACAAGATGGAAGATGTCTGGGACCCTTCCATCCCAGCTTGTCAACCACCCCAAGCTGCTCTGTGCAGGACCAGAGATCACTGGAAAGCCACTGTGTCTTAGGAAAGTCTCTATAGTCCACCAATTTAACCTTTTGCCTTAATGGAAACAGAATTACAGACAAAGCTGAACTTCTATTTTCAACCCTGGGTCACTACAACTCACCTGAAAACCTGACAAGGAAAATAAGTTTAATTGCGTGGCTTTGTTTCCAAGATAATTTGGAGTTTGTTGGGGAAGGCCCCCTGAGCAGCCTGAGAAAGCAAAGAATGGAAGCTGGCCTGTCACCCACCTCCAGCTCTGGGTGTCCTGGAGCAGAAATGTCAGAATGATAAGTCCATTATGTTTTAGGGCTGAGATAGCCCAAGTCACATGTAGGAGAAAGATCCCTTTGATAAAGAGATAGTCCACATATTTCTTATTCCCTCTATGTTACTAATGTCATAGGGAGGCTTTTTTTTTTTTTTTGGTAGCACTGGGGTTTGAAATCAGGACCTCACGCTTATTAGGCAGGTACTCTTATCACTTGAGCCACTCCACCAGCCCAAATTGACTTTATTTTTTTGGCCATACTGGGATTGAACTCAGGACCTCACACTTGCTAGGCTTGCTAGGCAGGCTCTTCATCACTTGAACCACTCCACCAGCGAGGTTAGACTGGGTCTCTCTTTTTTTGTTTTTTGGCAGTACTATGGTTTGAATTCAGGCCCTCATACTTGCTAGGCAGGTGCTCTTATCACTTAAGTCACCCCGCCAGCTCTTTTCTGTGATCAGTTTTTTCGCGATAGGGTCTCTCGAATTATTTGCCCAGGGTTGGCTTAGAACCGTGATCCTTCTGATCTGGGCCTCCTGAATAGCTAGGATTTCAGGCATGAGCCACCAGTGCCTGGAATACGAAGGCATTTTAAAATAAGTTGCATCATCAAGTTACTACAAAGAAAATCTTTCGAATGTAAAATTCAGAGTTTGGTCATGTAACTGAGCATGAAGGAAAAGAGATGACTTAAGGAGTCTGACTTGAAGTTGGAATGATGGTTTTGCTTTCCTGGACCCCTTCCTTCTCATGCAACATTCTGTCCAATTCAGAGAACTGGACCTTAACACCAACTCCAAACATAAAACACCTTCGCTGGGTGTGGTAGTGTACACCTGTAATGCCAGCATTCAGAGACAGAACCAGGAGGATCACAAGTTTGAGACCTGGGCTACATAGCAAGTCCCAGGCCAATTTGGACTACACAGCAAGACCCTGTCTCAGAAAACAAAGTGAAACGATAAAAAAAACACACTTCCATCCTCAGCTACTTCATTGCAGAAACAAAGTAAAACAAAACAATTTAACAAAATAAATGCAAATTATGCATTTTTTAAAGGCACGTTATTCTCGTCAATTACATCTCCCAACACGCATATATGGTGTTCAATGCCAAATATGGAGATTTGTCACATGCCAAGAGAGAGAAGAAACAACTCACTTATTCCCACAGATGGGGTTGGATGTGTTCCAGGAATCCTCCATGAGCTGCCAGTTTTTAATAGATCCTTTCACAAATCCTGACACCATTATGAAGCCCAGGACCAGAACGTTGATGCAGGTGAAGATTTTGTTGACCATGGCTGACTCTTTCACACCAAGAGTCAAAAGTCCTGAAACAGGCCACAAACAGAAAACTTTGCCTAAGAGCATTAACCATACAACTGGTAAGTCCTTTCAGGGAGGAGCATGGGGACAGAGATAGGGAGACAACAAAAGAAAACAAAAGGCATTGAATATCCAAAGAACTCTGTGAGCCTCTGGGAATGGGGAATTGGGGAATTAACTATCTTTCTAGGAGTAAGGACCTAAATAACAAGCCTATGGGGAGCATCAAAAGCTGGCATTCGGGATCCCCCTCAGGACTTGTTGACGAAACCCACAGGGCACCAAAGGGCCGCAGAGGCCTGGAACACTAGTCACCTCTCATGAAGAGCAAGGCTCTGGCAGCAGATGCACAGAGCCTCGACTGGCACACCAAGCTGCTCCCTGTCTGGGAAACAATCTTCTGAAGCTGAATTTATTTTCTCCAAGAAGTTGCTTGGCTCGGTTTTTTGGTAGTATGGGAGTTTTTCAGATGAGGGAATTATTCAGATTTACTTGGGATGTTAGTCATGTTGGCAATAACAACTATTTGTGGTTTTGGAACATATGGTTCCTCCCTAGACTCAACGCATATAAAATAACGTGTAAGCTAGACAAAATAAAACAACAACAACAAAATAACCAACCAAGTAACAAATGGGCACAGAAGCCCGGGATAGCACCATCTTAAAGCTTAATGCCAGGGACCGCCTTATGGTGTTTGCGCCATTTCCGTGGAGCTATTGTTTGGATCCTAAGTGTCCTCCAATGTCCATGTGGGAATCCTCCCGGGGTGGCATGATCAGGAGGTAGGACGTAGTGGGAGAGTTAGGTCGCTCGGAGTGTGCCCTTGAAGGGATTGTGGGACTTCAGCTTCTTCCTCTCTCTCGCTCTCACTTTCTAGCCAGGAGGTGAGCAGTTTTGCTCCTATCTACTGCCTTGCCAAAGGCCAAAGAAACAGGACAAACCAACCATGGACCGGATCCTCTAAAACTGAGCCAAAATAAACCTTTTCTCTTTACAAGATGATTGTCTCAAGTGTTTGTTATAGCAATGGAAAGCTGACTAACATACCTGGCTATACTCTGTAATTGGCATGAAAAGGGCCCAGCACCACTGGACCACCACTGATTTGACACTACTGCCCTGCCATGGACGTCTTTTCTGTATCTTAGTATAAAACCTGCTGTACAGATTAGAATAAACTCTGAAACACTGATGTTAGAAGAGAACTGAATAATTAATCACAGGGGAAGACGTCATCATGCGCTAACATATTTTTTCTTTGTGTGCCTCCCTCTCATGTCCATGAAAATGAAAACCTCACTCTAGTAAGGCAAGCTTATTTTCTGATATGTGTTTCTGCCAACTAGACCAGAAATACTGCTGAGACTGACCTGTGTGAGATTATTTCAATTACACAGTGTGTAAAATCAGGCATGTTGTTTTAAAAATTTGTCAAAGATTTTCTAATCTCAGATGAGAATTTATCTGTATTTCAGCTCCATGTGTATCTAAATGTTCCAGAGGAAACATTCATCCTAGTAGCTGGGACATGGACAAATGTCAATAAAAAGGAGTGGCCACTGGCTATGGAATTTAAAATTTCTGCAACCACAACTTATTTATTAAAAGGGTGGTTTGGGTGTTTGGTGTGAAACCACCAGAGACATATTTACACATCCAGGTACTTATCAGCTTTCCAGACGGAGATCACCCCTCCACTTTCCTGTGGACAAATGACCACTTTCCTTTCCAAATGGCTATGCACTGAGTCAAAAAGATTTCTATTTGTAAATCACTGTACAAAGAGCGTTCAGTCTAACAAAATCTCACTCCATAAATAGATACATTCATCACCTACAACTCGCTTTTAATTAAATGGCACAGAACTCGGCAGCTATTAAACAGGCCAACCCTGGGTGGACCTGTAAGAAGCCATTAGGGCAGGGACAAATGAACGAAGTTGTCTGTGCATTACAAAAACAAACTGAGGAAATGGAGGAGGGATTAAAGATACAAAGGGGAATAAAAGGAAAGGGGCTGGGGACATAGCTCAGTGGTAGAGCACTGGCCTGGCAGGGTGAGGCCCTGGGCACTATCCCAGCACAGCAAACGAGAGAGAGAGAGAGAGAGAGAGAGAGAAGAAGGAAGAAGAGGAGGAGAAGGAGGAGGAAGAAAGATGAAACAAAATTAACTAGAGCCTGTCATGGAATCTTGACCCACTGCTCCAACCGGACCCCCATAACCACAAGTTCTGAAAACAGTGGTTACCCTTACCAACTGAGAGGAATTCTGACAACAGGCGCAGCTTTACCTGTTAGGATGAGGATTATAATCACCGCAAATATGTCTGGATTCTCAGCCAGAATGCCAGAAGTATTCAGTGCCATGTGTTTCCGTGAGAAGTCCCCAATGGGTTTGCCTATGAGCTCGTCAAAGGTCGCACTCCAGGCTCTCGCCACGCTTGACGTACCTGCCACAAGACACAGGACAGCGATGGGAGGAAACAGTTAACAAAATGCTCGTCATCAAGCTTCACGTTTACGGCATCCATGCAGGCATCACGAAGAGCATCGGCAGCCAGACCTCAGTATGTGCTAAGCCAGAAGGGAGGAAGTTAGCGTAGGGAGTGACGAGTGAGAGAAGGCTTCTAAGACAACTTTACAATGGTGCAAAAGGAATGTCACTCAACAGAAACTGTTATTTTGAATTTTGAATGTGGATCTTTTCTGGAGCTAGCAATATTCGGCATGCTCCTCTGTTGTGATGGCCCAGCAGTGGCAGTGATGACAGCTCTCATGAGGGGAAATGAGAACTGCTGCTGAGCTAGGGGCCATTTCTAGGTTACATGGATTACCTCTGCTTTCTGCTTCTGGTATTTTCCTTCCTCCTTCCCTCCCTCTCTTCTTTCCTTGGTTGTTTGTGACAGGGTCTTTCTATGTAGCCTGTGCTGGACTGGCAGTCATGACCCTCCTGTCTCAGTTTCCCAAATGCCAGGGTTACAGATGTGTGTCACCATGCCTGGGGTTGGTGTTTTCATCTTGTGAGAAGAGTGAGTGTGAGTGTGAGTGTGAGTGTGTGTGTGTGTGTGTGTGTGTTTGAAACAGTATACATACACATATCTTCGTATAAACATGTTATGAAAACAGTGGTTACCCTTACCAACTGAGAGGCATTCTGACAACATTTATTCAATTCCATCTATTTAATTTCATTAAAAAAAAATAAATACTGGCAACAACTTGAGAAACTGAATTCACAAAGCACTCCTAGGGGGGGCAGGCAGTCTAAAGATACATTGTTTAAGCAGACTCTTTTCCAGGGACCCCTGGCAGCAGGGCTGATGGTACCCATACCGCAAGAACCCCTCTCTAGGGAGATCCACAAAAAAGCTGTACCCCACTTCAGGGGCATGGCTTCCATTCAACCCAGATGGCAGTCACTCTGCCACTGTGGGTTTAAACTTAGCAATTGCACCTGACCTAGAGCCATGGTGCTCCCACAGCCAAGTCCCACCTCTTCATCTCCATGAACCACAACCCATGCCCCAGCCACAAGGAATACAAACAGGCTACACTCCTAAGGACAACAACAATGGTTGGCTTTTCTATCTCTCTTTCCTTCAATTTTGAAAAGAGTCACTGCTTTTCCAGTGGTGTTTCTCAGAAAACATCACTGAAATGTCAATCTCCACACACATCATTTTCCTTTACTTTTGGAGGGCCTTCCCATGGTCTGAGTTATTCACAGAATTTTGCCAGAGCTGTACAGGGATTCAATTTCATTATTTGGTCTCATACTAAATATTTTTCTAACAACTCAAAACTTGAACTGCATTTCTTCATCCTAAATAGTAACTGATTAATTAATAATTAATAATTAATAATCAGTTAATAGTAACTGATTATTAGGCCACAACCTAATAAAAAAAAAAATGGTCTGTCTCCTCAAAGTGGCCAGCTCACTGCAAGCAGGCTTCCAAACTTGATTCCAGTGGATGCTAGGCATGCCCCCCCCACCTTTCTTCCCAGCCCACCCCTTTCCCATTTCTGAATCATGGCTTTAAAAAAAGTACTTAGGAGAGGGTGCTGGAAAAACTCTTCCCTAGCAGCTAAGCCTGAGAACACATACATAAGCCTTACACAAGCAAACAGCACCAGCAAAGACTATTATTTGTTGGTCTGGAAGCAGCAAACACTTCATGCCCAATGTCTTGTTTTATGCCTGGGTAAATCGTCTGGATGCATAATGGTCCATTTAAAATAGTACACCCCCACTGTGAGACTTCAGCACGTGACAGTCATTTGGTTACAAGTTTTGATGTTGTACTAGGAAAAAAAAAACCATTATGAATTTTATCTTAGAACTTATTAGAGTAAGCTCTATTGGCTCTCAGATGTTGCAGCTACTGGAAAGAAAAAAGAGGTGCCCTTCTAACAGCCTGAGCACTGGTCTGGTGGGGTGACAGTGGCATCTCCACAGGGATGAGCCTCAAGGACCATGAGGATCCCTGCAGGTAGGTAGCAGGGAGCAGGCAGAGGTTTCTCCATGGGAGCAGACACAGAAGTGAGCTGAGACCCACGGGCTCACTTTCCACTTCTCACAGTTTTCTGACAATATTCAGTAAGTTGAATGTTTAGTGGCCTGCATTTCTACTACTATGGCACAGCCATTTGCAGACTTTGCTTATTCTTACATTCCGGTGCTAGATTCTTTTATGTCAACCTCAGGTGTGATCACAAGACCTCCCACCCTGTCTCGGAGGGAGCACAGTGGGTCATCTGTCCACCCCAAACAGGAGGAAGTGAGGGCGTGGGCTGTCGGCCTGTTAGGACCCTGGGACGTACCAATAATGTAGGAGAGGATCAAGTTCCAGCCTGTGATGAAGGCCCAGAGTTCCCCAACAGTCACGTAGCTATAGAGGTAGGCCGAGCCTGTCTTGGGGACTCGAGCACCAAATTCGCCATAACACAGGCCAGCCAGCACGGAGGCCAGTGCAGCAATCAGGAAGGAGATAACAATGGCAGGACCGGCATTGTCACGGGCCACAGCACCAGCCAAGACATAGACACCAGCGCCCAAAGTGCTGCCCACACCCAGGGCCACCAGGTCAAATGTGTTCAGACAGCGGGACAGCCTGCTGCTTTCTTCCCGGCTGCAGTCCACCACCTTCCGCCGCAGCATCTGGTGACCAAGGCCGAGAAGGACTTTGCACCCCATTGTGCTCTGCAAATCTGTCAGAAAAGAAAAAGAACAAAGGTGTTTCATCACACCACGTGCCTCTTATACTAACCTCTTCTTATTGCACCATCAAAACACAGTGACAGCGACGGGGTCCTTATGTTTGAGTTATTAACATTCTACTGGCAGCTGTCAGAACCCATGGCCTTCCCCAGTCTTGGGCTCCCTAGCATGTACAAAAGTCTCCCAGAAGGCCAGTACACCCAGCTGCCTTACTCCCTGGTCTCTGAGCCTCCATTTTCATTTCAGTTCTTAGCTGAGAAACTTCTATGGACAGAATTGATGGTAGCAAGGGAAACACAAAGTAATGACACTGTTCCTACCCTGGGTAATCGCATAACTTACCAGGAAAAACAAGATATTATTTCAAGTATGTGACAGAAGACAAACCACGTAATTACTACAACTCAGGGGCCTAGAATAGCAATGATGATGCATTCTGATCTTTTCAGGATCCTCTAAGGGCAAGGACCAAGTTGTTTCCACTTTTAAGTTAGCACAGAGTTGGCTCTAAGGCAGAAAAATGCTGAATTATTTCAAGTGAGGGCATTTCATAACTGGCACAATTCCAAGAAGCCCTTCTTCTAAGCCAGTGTGGGTGCCATGCTTTGTGTGACACTCTCCTGAGAACTCAGAGAGAGCAGAGACAGGTCACTCGCACCCTCTTCCACCGTCACATGGAACACAGCCCATGAGGGCTTCAGGACGCCAAGCACATAGGGGACCTCTGACCCAGGGCAGCTTTCAATTGCTCTCCTATGACACACAGCTCACCTGCTCAGGTGCAAAGTGGAGCTTCCCTCCCGGCTTCTGGAGGGTGGTGGGCTCTGCAGAGTGACCTCCTCCCAGGGCACAGTGTGGAAAGGTGGGCAGTAGAGAATCCCAACAAACACAGCCTCAGCTAGGCAGTCATGGTCTACATCAAAAATGTGAAGCCTCGTTGTCTATGTGATATGACAAGAGGGGCACTAGACTTGTGTGATCTTTCTTCCTGAAACTACGACCCTAGTCTAGTCATGGGGAAACAACCAGAAAAATCATAGCTGAAAGACAGTCTACAAAATACCTGACCAGTAAAGCCCGAGAACCCGTCATAGCCAAGAGGACACTCAAGAGGTGTGAGGACTAATGCAATGTGGGATCCTGAAAGTATTAACTTTAGTTAATAATAACACATGAACATTGGTTCATACATTGTAACTAATGCAACACACCAATGTAAGAAACTGGGTGTGTGATATTTGGGAACTCTGTACTATCTTCATCATTTTCCTATAAATCTAAAACTATTCTCAATACAGAGTTTATTTAAACAACAACAACCCAGTATGTGCAAAGATAAGTGACTTTTGGCAACTAAGGTAAAAAAAAGAAACAAAAAAAAAAACCCCACATATTTTTCACTTTTGTTGCCCAGGCTGGCATGGAACTCACAATCTTCCTTCCTGCCATAACCTCCTACTACACCTAGGATCACAGGTGTGTGGCACCACACCACCACACTTGACTGCTATCAATTGATATTTTACAATGAAGTCACTGGAAAACCAAATAATCCCAATGGAGACCACAGGGCTAAAGAAATACTCAGGCTCAGGTCTGTTTTGGTGATGTCACGGGCAAACTTCAGGTCACCGGGAGTGGTTCTTCCTGTATTTTATCTGACGGTTCCAGAAGAGAAAAATTTCAAGACCTGTCCAATTTTTAGCTAGTCTGGGGAATCCCCATTTCACAGATGAGGAAAAGTAACTGAGAGAGCCTAGCGTCAAGTAAGGTTACAGAGCTCTGAAGGAGCAGGTGGCCCAACAGCTAATCTGGGGTCCTGGTGGCCCTGCGGGTGGGAAGGAAATGATATCTCCTGCAGCAAGGTGGGGAGGAAACAGGAGGAAATGAGGCATGAGTGCTGTTTGTGGAACAGGAGCAGAGTGGGGAAATCACAGTCTGAGGACCCAAAAAAAGAACAAGCAGAGAAAAGAATGGCTTCCCAGTGTCTTCAGCAACTCATGGACATTTCTCTAAGGGCTCAAGGCAGGAACAGATTCTGAGGTGTTTGAGCACGGCACACAGAAAGTCCTGGGAGAAGCACGCTTCACAAAAAGCAAGACAAGACTCTGAGTGCAGGAGGTTTCCCACAGAAGGTTCTGGAAGGCTCTAGCATTCTCCAAGTCTTTCTTTATTTTTCCTTTTACACAGGACTCAACCTGATTTGCTCAAGTCAAATTCTAAGTCACAACCAATTGATTAGTTAACAGTTGCTTGGATACTAAGTTCTTTGACAGGGAAATTGTAACACTGCAACACCACCCTTGGCAGAAAAGGCTGTGCTAGAGACATGCAAAAATTGTTGTAGGCAAGTGTAGTTCAGTGGTAGGGCACTTGCCTAGCATACGCGAAATACTGGATTCATTCCCCAGTGCCAAGAAAGGAAAATTTTAAAAGTAAAGTAGTTGTCAAGATCACTTTTTGTGGCAAGGGGGAATTTTGAGCAGATGGGCATAAAGGGAAGTAGGGTGTGAGAGCTTCACATTGCACTACTGTGAATTAGGGTGGTGAATGTGCCTGCTGGATTGACCAAGGGGCAGTGTCTGCCTGCTCCCTCCTCTCCCACCTGTTGTTTCTCTCTTCAAAATGTTAAAAGCCAAGTGCAAGGTAAAGACATCACCACTCAATATCACTGGCTTTCCTAGGCTTCATAGAAGCCTCCTGAGCAGAAAGTGGGCGGGAGGAAGTCGCTCTGCCTCCCTCTGTCCTGGGCTCTCGGGAGGCCTGACCACAGCTCATGCTCTTTTCTGGAAAGAAGCTGTGGTCAGAGCTGTGACCAAAAGCTGCCAAGACCAGCCAAATGGGGACTCTTGGCAAGAGGAACACAGAGCCCAGCCACATACCAGAAACAGATTTCTGAATGTCCCTAGAACAGAATGCAAATCCAAGGTCCTCATGTTAGTACAACATGGCCCAGTTGGCCACTCAGAGCCTATGTGCACACACATACATACCTGTGTCACCATGAGCATGACAGCCCCCACCAGGAACAACCCACTCCCAGAACCAACTCACTTGTTGAGGGACTTCAGTACCACATTCGAAGTAAGGGAGACAGGTTATTAAACACCATAAATTTGGATACAGACACTGTTTTCAGCATAGTGTGAAAAGGGAGTGCTTTGGTGAGCCAAGTGTAGCCATGGGGATACAGCTCATTTCTCCTGAATAGACACGCCTGTGGTTCACTATCTTTAGGTTCTCGGTGCTTGGCAAGTGGTCTGTGTATCACTGGGAGGGGCAGCAGGAACCCTGACAGCAGACTAACTTCCTGTTACCTCACCATGAGTGCTTTGTACACATTGCTTGCTACTGAGAAGAGTGAACTCAACTCCTTAGGAAGGCACCAGAACAAAAAGGCAACCAGGTGCTGGTAGAGGTGCAGAGCAGGTAACGAGGTAAACATAAATGTCTCAAGTTGATGCTCATTTCTACCTCCCAGGGTGGGAGAAATGAAACACTAACATACCACACCCAGGCTTTATTTTAGGAAATATGCTTTGTGTCCTTCGAGGTACTGTGAAAGCCGTTCTCCGAAGGCAGTCCCTTATCAGCGGTTCGTGTACCATTCTTCTGCACACCTGTACTCTAGAGCTGGTTGGTCAACCAACAGGGAGGCAAAACATGATTCTCTGCACAAAACCAATCTAACCATTCTGATCCCAGCAATGGCAGGCTTCCTGCTGTTGGGATTCACATAAGAAGTTGCCAGGAATGCTTGAGAACATGATGTACAAATTAGGTTACTTTTTCTCATCATAAATGACACTTGTTTGAGGTTTTGACAATAGCCTGCAACACAAGAGTCGGAGCTCCATCAGTTATTATTACAGAACACTTGCCTTAGGTGGTACCTTCCAAGAAAAATAAGGAAAAGCTGTGCAGTCCCACAGAAATTGACTCCATATTTTATTCTACTGATCATATAAAAACAGGAGTAAAATGATCCAATGAGTCAGCATTTCAGAGAAACTTTCTTGGGCTCTATTTTAAAATTTTCTGATAAAGGTAGATGAGGATGAATGGTGTGGCTTTTTCAGTCTCAAATTTAAGCATTAATTCCATCCCTGAAAGTCCATCTTGATGGCTTGAAGAAGGGAGGAAAGAGTCAGAAGCAGGCCATTAGACTATATTCCTAAATGCTATCCTTTGAAATCTTTCCTAGGTCTTCAGAATGGCCTAGGCCCCTAACAAGCAGCTCCCACCAGGCACCTGGTGGGAACCTTCTAGAGTAAAAGTATCATTTGAATGGGAAAAAAGCTTCAGTCAACATTTGTACCAGGCTAAGGAAACTGCGCCTTTGCTAGGATGGTGGCTTTCTGGGATACCACAAATAGGTGGGCAGTCCTGGGAGTTAGCATCCCCAAAGCAAGAGCAGCCACCAACCACAGAGCCGGAACATAGCTGGTATAAGGACAATTGGCCCTGGGGCACCTGTGGACACTGATGTAAGGGCATGTGCAGCCTTAACAAGGAGGGGACAGGGTGCTGAGGACCAAGTGACCTGAGGTCCTCAGGTCACCAGAGGTGGTAGGAGGGAGGGCACCTAAAAAGCATTCCAGGATGCTGGTCACTGTGGGGAAGGAGGAGACTCAAAGACATGATGAGGGAAAAACTGTGTTGCACGAAGTGATCTCAAAGCACTTCCCCCAGATGTTAGGAGGCCCAGATGTAAGAACTTAACAACAGCAACAAAAAAAATCAGGGATCGAGTGGGACTGGTAAACAAGAATGAAACCCTAGAAGTAGGAAGCCATAGTGTTGTAAGAAAAGGGATGAACACAGAACTGAACAAGGTCCCAGGAAGGAACAATCAAGGTCACTCACTAGGCAGAAATTGACAAAAGGAAGAGGGAACAGTGACAGTGGTCAGTGCCTGAGACTATCAAAGAACACATAAAATCCAATCCAAGGGGATTCACTTAAGCTCTCTGGTGAATTTCAGTATTTA